TTACAACATTTTCTATACGAGTAGCCAAATCATTAACCTGCATATTGCACATCGGTACGAAATCGGTTTGTGCGCGCAACATCCGGTTGGGAACTTTTGGGTGAAATAAGATCTCAAAAGTACCGTGGCGCTTGCACTCATACTGCGACATATACATTTCATGCAGCTAATGAAATTACTAACCATAAGTTACCACCGTTGTTCTACTTATGGTTAGTCTTATACCAAAACCATTAATTAGCGCGTGCAGATTAACATTCAATTTGAAACTGTACCGCCAATAAGCATTATCATTTATCAGTAGTGACTCCGCCAAACAGCCGGAAAGCCGGCTTTAATGATAAGCTATTACCGCGTTAAGCTATTCGTTAACACCACATAAAAAGCATTTTCAGTTGACATTATCGATCATTTACAGTAATGGCTTCTTATTCGCTCATCCGTCGATACTGTGACGAAGTGATGCGCATTCCCTAATAATAAAAAACCCTATCCAGTCAACCGCAAGTTTCCGGCTGACTCCAAATTATTCCGGCAAATTCGTTGGACCACTACAATTATGAAGTGCTTCTGTATTGCAGCACAGGAACGAACGCATCCCTGGCCATTAAGTCAACCACGCATGATCAGGCATTCAGTGGTGTACACTACACGTATAATACAGATGCTCTTCAACAGCGTTAAAATTAAAACCGAAGCCTGCTGTCCTGTTTCTCGAGGCTGGAATGCGCGGACCGGCAAACAGCAAGGTAGTGGGACGAATTGTACGCGTCCCGGCTAACTAGTAAGTCGTAAGAGACGTAATCCGCGGAACATCAACATTTTCATTTGGGCCAAGTTAATTACATTGATTGCCGCTCGTTCATGGTGGATACAAATGGAAACTACTCGGCTGACGCAGTGTGGCACTTTTATCCTTGATTGCACGATGAGTGCCGCCGATCTGTGCCGCAGTAGTTGAGCGAGGCGAAATGGCTAAACTCTAAAATAACATTTCATAAAGTAACACTAGACGGCTAACATGCGATTAGTGCGGCAAAATGGAATATATTCATGCACAACGCTACCGAATCCAGCACTTCCGAGCATCCAAGCAGTAACTTGGTCACCAGATCGTAATTACCGTTGTAATAAAAGCAAACATATAAAAAGCCGGTGTGAAACGCAAGAACTATGCCATCAAGATGTTATTTCGAACAAGCGGTTTCTGCCATTTTCGTACATTGAACAGGAAGAAGAATTCCCGGCACTTTCCCGCCTTAATTGTGAGAATTTGAGCAGATGATCATGATTTTCTTCAGCATGAAATGCATAGTTTATAATTAACAGTCATTCTTTCGTCAATGCGCCTATCCAGGTTTTTCAGTGATCCATCATTAAATTCCCACAGATCGATATAAAAGACTTCCGCACTTTTTTATTCCCGGATGTGAGTCACAACTCACAACGGAGCAACCACGCTGCGAGTGCGGCTGTGTATTATACGTTATCATCGCACCTAACGATAATTGGTTTACGACTAGTCAACCCCGCCTCTTCTATGCTGGCTCCTTGCTAACGCCCTACTAGCTGCCGGAGCTGGAGTTTCCACGGCAAAGACATGCCGCATCGCCCAACAAAACAGGAACAGCGAAAGTGGCGCACGATGTCGTGATAACATGTATCAAATTTGACTATAACCCCGTTAATGGACACCAGTACCCTATGCCAGCTAGGATCGACTGACAAATGCCCGTTTTAGCGGTCAGATGCACGCGTGGTAATTATAGCCGGCATCGTAAACTCGCATTTGGCAGTTCGACCGTTAGGCTGTAAACAAGGCCGTACGGCTGTGTTGCTACTGGCTGCTGCACCGTCATGTAGTGACTATTTTGGACACGCAATGCTGAGGTGATCGTGTTAATTAATACGCTGCTGGGATGCTGTTTGACATGATGATTTGGATGTAAGCGGTCAACGTTGGCCCATCAACTATGACTGCGTACTACAATGCTAGTAGGAATGGATCCGGTGTGCTGCGTGAACCGCCGGTATTCCCGCTGGACTACCGGATAACGGCCACGGTTGTCCACTCTATTCTGCTGCTTTTGGGGGTCTTCGGGAATATTGTGGTCATGCTGGTTGTGAAGCGGACGCGGATTATGCACATACCCACGTACTGGTATTTGGTAAGTGACCAGTGTCCGTTATCTTTTGCGCGATGGGGTCATCGCCATATGTGACGAAAGCCGTGTGCTCTTAGTCCATATTTTACTGCAGTGTGTTGTTGTTTCCTTTCCGCCACAACTGGTTACGTTGAGCACTATTTTGACTCATTGTAATATCAGTTTTACGTTATTATATATTATACAGCAGTTATTATACAGTTATATACAGCAGTATTATTATACAGCAGTCTCAGATCAAAAGAGCAAAAAGATATAGATATTTAAATTGCTAAGTATGCTAAATGCTATAGATTTATAAATTAAGTGCGGATTGTAAGACGATTTAAAACAACCCAAAGTTTCAACGAAATTCGCACAATGCCTTCGTCTAGTTATCCTGAAAATCATGCGCGCGAAATGTTGGCATAAATTAAAACTTTTCGTTTTACACCCGGTAAAACTTCCGGGAAGATGCGGAATTACCCTGAAATGCAGATAAATCCACGGTGAATTGAGCACTACGGAAACTGGATTCCAGAAAATGAAATTCTTTTAAATTTTAGCCTATGTCGTTCGTGCTTAATAGTTAATGTACAGTACATACTTGTGTTTGTACACATCAGTAATACGCTAACAGCTACAAGTGCTCGAAACTGATTGACATCGAAATACTCGTAATTACAGTATAATATATGGCCGCAAATCTGAAATCCTTTAATCGGTCTGCGTTTTTAACTGCAGCTCTGTGCAAAAATCGTGCATTTAGTTTACCAAAACTATTCCGTAACGATTCGAAAGCAGTTTTGGATTTTCCATGGAAAGCTCAGTGACACGTGACAGGCACAAAAATAAATGTTTCCTGGCACTCGTTTGGCGCGACAAAGTTCAAATGAAAATCAGTCGTAAACCGTTGATTGTGATATATCGACAATTAGCTAGAGGCATATATACGGAGCATATCTGTGGGAGTAATTGCATCGTCCATGGTACCGGAAGGATTGCTTAAGCTTAAGGACAGAACAATTACGGCTTGCTATTCTCCTGTATACGAACAGACCGGAAGGCCGTAAAATGATCGAGCATTCGCTCGAAAACTGTCCCTATTATCAAAATTGGGACATTTTTGTTAGAGAATTTGATAAATTAATTGATAATAATTCAACCAAAATACCTCAGAACTTCACAAAAACGCTGGTGGATATTATTTGCTAGCAGTTGCAGCAATTAGACACTGACGTAATCAAATAATTGGAGATCGATGCACATGTAATCATTGCTTTACCATAAAAGTTTAACAAAAATTCAAATTTCTTGTTAGTGGCACATTATAACACATGCCATATGCAACTTTTAACCAGATTAAACTTTAAAATTTAATCATATCGTTAACAAATCCCAGAAAGAGACTGGCCAACTGATTAATAAATTATTGTTTTTGGATATATTTAATCGACTATTCTTGTATCGGATGTGCTGCGAAGTAATGATGATTGAATACAATTTTTGACGTGGTTGCGCTAATTAACAATTAAATTATTCTATGCAGGTTCTTGTACGTGCGATGCAATTCCGTAGCATACTGCAGTGTCAATAAGCTTAGGCAGAAAATCTTTTGTGTTACTGCACTAATAAAATTCTGTGTTTTTCCAAAGGGCATTAATAAGAGCCTGAGGAGTTTTAATATTAATACCCCACATACTGTACATGCAGCGAAATTACATAAAAAGTTTTACAGAACTTTCCCAGTTGGGCAGCTTGAAATGGCTCGTTATGCTCGCGTAAGATATTGGTCTATAGATATATGTTTATTTGTAACAGACGCACAGTTAATTAGCAAATCGATCTTAGGCAAGACGCGCTGTTGCCAGATGTCAGAGCAAAAAATTGATTATCCTAGTTTATACGAGTACGAGTAGTCGTTACAGCAGACAGTTTATAATGTGCGGCAAATGCGGGTAAGTAATGTCAAGGGTTCAGTCGCTGGTTTATTTAACATTTTCTTGCCGGAATTTAACCATTTGGGATCTATTAACGGCTGCAGTAGTGTTGAGGACAAAATCGTAAAAGATTATGCCGAAACGCATGCATAAAAGATTAGTGGATCAGTTTCGGTAGTTTTAGGCATTTCTCTCTTCTGAACTTTTTGGCATCCAGCAATTTAATACTTCTTGAGTTTTGTTGATTCTTTAATTGTTAATATTCAAATAAAACTGAATTCATGACATGTATACAAGTGAAGTTATCTCGTATTCGATTATATGTAGTTACATTGGGTTTGACACAGAGAGGAAACCGACAGCTGGTTTTTCTTGAGTTACTAACTGTAGAAATTGATAGTAACCGACAGAAACGGACAAGAACTAACGAAAAATTGCTGATATTTACAACAGGTAAATACCATGGCAAACTATGCATTGGATTTTCAATGCACAATATTAAAAAGGTTGTAACATGGCGCAAAAACGTACAACATAATGCCGTAGCACTAATTTGGCGTGCAGTGAATTCTTCTGCATGAACTTCGATTTTTTGTTAAACCGAGCCGTGTATAACTGTGAGTCTTACCGACGTTACCGTTAAAAGTTACACAGTAACACTGTTAATTGTTTTAAGTTCCCTGCTTTAGATAGGTTGTAACTGCGACCTGTGTCAATTATATTTGTGTCAATTTGAAAATTAGCTGTGAAGTATTTATTTATAATTAATTTAAAATTATGCAAGCACGATACGAGCTAAGGTGAAAGTACAATATTGCTGCTTTCTGTATGTGTGTATATTTTGCTTACTGTATTATTAAATAGAAAGACACTATAGATTTATCGGCGGATATGTGTAAATATATAACTTCGAGCAGCTTCATTTTTGCTGCACCTTTTTACCAACATTTAATGTACAAAACAAGGACAGACATATTTTTGTCTTTCTCTTTGCATTAGTGAACCATTTAAATCGTAGTTTCTTAAATCGTAGTTTTGAATATATGCTAATCATGTGATTTTATACGGCTATTACATAAGGAATATTTTACGAAGATGATAGATGATACGCCAGTCGAGACAGCTCGGACACTTAGCAATCAATTGACGCAAAGCATTACGGGTAAAATTCCGCACTTCCGTCTGGAGTTCAAGTTCAAAAGGTCTCCCGCTCTTATGCTCACAGTCCACAAAGTGGTCACAGATATGCCTTCTTTTGTACACAAATCAATAATTATGGATTCTTCCCGGTTGTCCCAGCAGCCTGTTCAGCTTGCATAAAAAATCACGCTTGTATATGCGATTAAAATTTAGAAAAATTTCCAGGAAAATGCTTTATTCGTCAAGTGCAGACATTTGCTCACAGTACAATCAATAATCGGCATATTTTGTGCCACAATATTCTATCCTAGTAGGAAACACATACGTTCGGACTGCACATATGCTGCTGGTTGGTCAACTTTACGTCACTGTACAGTGCAAAATAAGATCACCAGTTTAATGGTATCCCTAACGCCGGGCGTTGCTTTTCTTAGGTTTCTTTATCGGCAGCCGATTTGTTATCCATTCTGGTAACGGTACCGGAAGCCATTATTTCCTATCAAATTTACGCCCACCAGTGGATATTTGGACAAATTGGTTGTTCACTTCTCATATTTCTGCAGTTCCTCGGCATCAACGCCAGTTCACTGAGGTTAGCCGCATAACCACTGTTTGCGCATTAATGGGCCATATCCAAGTGAATTTACTGTTTACTCTTTTTTGCAGCATCTTAGCCTTCACTGTTGAGGTAAGTAATCTGACGATGATCTATACATGGCTTCTGCATTACATATATTCGGATCGGACATGAAAGGCTTTGTGCATTTGATTTTCAGTAAACATCAGAGACCATGCGTTTGTTTACTGTCTAACTCTAATATTATTACTAACCTTTTTGCATCCACAGTAATAGAGATGGTGTGCGTTATATACAAATTGAAATGAAGTATAACAATAGCAGAAAGCCGAAATTTGTTACCTGACATATCCAAAACTATTTCCTTCAATGATCGGTAATTCTGGGTTTGCTTACGTACAGTGTGTAGCTATGTAACGCATATTTTGAGCTGTATTTTAATTTTTTATGAACTGATGAGAAGAACCTTGATGCGAAAGTGAATTTGTGACACAGATTTTCAACTTTAATTTCTTTACTCGGGATTATTTCTACTGTTGTTCCGGAAATAGAGCCTGCAGTAATTTTATTCAACACTACAAAATACACACTTCACAATGAATTCATTAGCTTATTTTTGCCAGTAGTCGTTAGGTCAAACTTCGTCGAATTAGCCAATGGTTTACTGATCTTTTTAAGAATCACCAGCATATGATTTTACCCCGTCGCTTCTTCGATTCTCTCTATAAGTCGTCAAACATCCCGTTTATGCACTACAGTAGCCTGCCGGCAATAACCGGTCAAATGTTTTCCCGGGAGATGTACGTACGATATTTCTCCAGAGGGATACAATAATAAACCAGCACAATGCCGGCGTGCACTGTGTTTTTCTTGACAACAGAGAATTTGCTCCACAAATGCCAGCTCAATAACAAAAAACTGGTCGCGCAATTTAGGTTAGGAGATGCCTGCGTCAATGGTCAATATTATTCGCAAAAAAACCAATTTATACGGAAACCCCTTTACATTAACATTTTCGGTTGATAGACCTTTGTCAGTGACAACGCATTATCGATCACTGCCCACAGCGTTCTTCTACAAGATTGGTCATAAGGAAAATTCTGCGCTTTGTAGTGGCATTTTCTTAATCTTTTGAGTACTTAACGAGGTGACAGGTGACATTAAATGTCGTATTATGCACATACTCACTCGGTGTCTCCTCTTCTCCCACAGCGCTTCGTCGTGATATGCCGTCCACTCCATGCCAAAAGCATCTGCACAATGAACCGCGCCAGACGAACGATCCTGGCGCTGTGGTTACTGGCCCTGGTAACCGCCACTCCCTGGCTGTTCCTCACCGTCACTCGCCGCTATCCCGGTTATCCGGGCTTTGAGTTCTGTGACTTCCGGGTGTCCCCGGACAAGTACCGCTACATCTTCGGGGTGGATATGCTGGTGTTCTACGTCATTCCCCTCCTCACCAGTTGTGTCATGTACTTCAAGATGAACACGACACTGCGCAGTCAGATCTACCAGAATAAACCATCACTGTTGAGTATTAGCCGGGTGGCATCCGTGCGGCGTAGCACGCGCAACGGCCGGAGCGGCAGCCGCAGTCGAGCGTCGTCCAGTGACGCGGTAGCGCTGGGCGAGGCAGTGGATGCGGCATCGGCTGTGACCATTAGTCAATCACGACTGCAGGCAAGTTACAGCTGATTTTTGAACGGGAACTGATTGGGAAACGAGATATTGAGTAGATTAGATCAATTCCCAGGGGATTGCAGAGAGGAATAACTTTACGATAGAAAATGGAGATAATTTTGTCGGTCCTATATTCTGTGCTGTCGATGAGATGCTTAATTATTGATCTGTTATATTAATCTCGTAATTATGTTCAGGGAAATCTGTATCTCATCAACGGATGTAGAAAGGTCACTCATGCACCAGGGGCTTTTACCCAAAATTAATTAAGCACTTGGCTGGGTGTTTATTATTTTATTTGCAATAGAAAGAATGTAATTTTGCTGATGAGCAAAAAATGATAGAGTTGCCAAGCCAAAAATAGATACGTTTAGAATTGCTACTCGTAGTTACTGTTTCTTTTTGAAAAAAACCGAATGATAATGGATAAATTGCTTATCAATGCTTATGAGTACTTTAAATTAGGGCTTCTTAAATCTGATCAAATCAGGATTAACTTGAAAGTGATGGCTTTTTGTGATATCTGATAGGATTGCTAGTTTTGCTAATTGTGGTCAACCTTAGATGGTGTTTGCTTTTGCAGGTCGTTCGTATGTTGTTCGTGGTCGTAGCATTATTTGCCGTCCTTTGGCTGCCATATCGAGCAGTTAGTCTATACAATTCCCTTGCGTCCAAGCCGATCCTCAACAAATGGTTTATGCTCTTCGCCAAAACCTGTATATTTTTCAATGCATCCGTGGATCCCTTATTGTACAGCGCCATGAGTAGGCGATTCCGTAAAGCCGCTTTCGATGTGTTAACATGCCGTCGAAACCGATTACTGTAATCTTTTAAGCGAATACTCTGTAGACAAAGTATTTTGCTGTGATATTTAATTCCCTGTCTTGGTTTTACGCTATTTAAAGGACCGTCGGTCACTAGAAACAGCTTTTTGTATTGCTGCTTTGTTGCTGTAAACTGCTTTGTCCTTAGTGTGTACCCACTGTAACGCACATCTTTCATTATTAATCTGAACGGTCATTCTAGCACACATTCTTGAAATACGAGGTAGTTAGAGCTGGTCGCCGGTTAAAAAAGTATCTCGTTTATGAAAAACACTGCTTATGCTGTGTACTTGTTATTCTGCTTTTCTTTCACTGCTATCACTAAAGAAAGACTGCCTTGTGCAAAATTAAAGAAGCGTACACGTATTGTACATATGCAGTGTTTTCCAAAACTCGAAATGGACATTCGTTAATCTGATTTTTTCTAAAACTCCAGATCACTGCTGTTTTTGCTTTGAAAACATTTCAAATGACCATGACCAATAACAGAAACAAAACACAACAAACCGGTAAAAACTTCAAAACGAACATGCACAATTCGCCAAACACAGTATAACAATATCATTCTATGAACTTGCAAAACTACGAAATAGAAAAGTACAATAAAAAATGCAGAATCACCCAATGGCTAAACCGGTAATGAGCTACAAGTCTCGGAACCAACACCCAAACCAGAAACTAGAACTATATGTATATGCATCGTACGGAAGCGGACACCCGGGGAAGTGGCGGCGTATATATGTATAGAAGGCATTACTTTTGAGCAACGTGCACATTTTGATCATCGTTCATGGGTTGGTGGGTTCCACGCTATCCTCTTCCGGTACGGAGCGTACGAGTGTGCGGTTCGTATCAGGGAAGTCGTTCGCGGTGCCATTGACGTTATGGGCGTTGGCCGCTAGGCGTTGGAGGATGGCTGCGGTAACGGGAGTGTTAACTTGACGTGTAGGAACAGCAGGTGGGGGAAGAAGGGGATGTTGGGGATTGGGAATTAGTGTATCGTCTATGAACTTACTGACCGGACGATTAAAGGGGTCTTGGGGTGCTCTTACCGGTTTGTTAGGATTGTTGTATATGGGAGGAATCGTATGTCTGGGATCTCCTGCAAAACCGTTAACATGATAAATTAAGACTACCACTGACGCAATTCAGTTACTACAGTTTAACTTACCTCCATGTGGTAATAATTTCTCCTCAACATTTTCTTCCACATTCTGTTCGTTCACCGGGTAATTAGCTTTACGTCTTCTTAGGCGGCACATATAGATAATCACGGCAATGATGACCAGGAGAAGGAATACACCACACACAATGCCAACGACTGAAAAGCAAACCGTGACAACAAATAGTTGCTCACTTGTTTCGGAATAGTCGAAAAACTAGCTTACTCATGGCGGTGTTACTCCTGGGCGCTACAGATGGTTTGGGAATTTGATCACTCGGCAGTTCAATGGGAACAGCCCAAGCCCATCCCTCTGGGTCGTGTGGCATTTGAAGACCCTACAAATCATCGAAAATAGTTACCGAATTTTATCACTTCACCTCAAACCAGTTTTCATCGATAACTCAAAAGAAAATTTGCACTGGCTAAAAAGGAGTCGTACCGTTGTTTGGGAGGGGTCGTATAATCCGGCTGTGGGTTCGACAATTAGAGGCAAGGCACACTGTGTCTCGTTCAGGTCACCACGAGCGTTAGAGAGACTGGGTTCTTCATGGTTAAGGAGGAGGTGTAATGGCTGCAGGACATCCTCCACCAAGTCCGATTCGATACGTACATCTAACGCAGAAATGGAATGTGAACTTTACAAGATCATTGTAGGGCTCGTGTTCTGACACATACTGGAAATGCATCCAATAAATGGACCATAGGCAAGTAAGCCTTGGTGTTGTGGGTGCACTGGGAGAGCGTTGCTGTCAACACGGCCCACCATGACGTAGTGGACAAAGTGGGAGCCCAGTGCGATGTTCACGTCTTCTTTGTGATCGTCCACCTGAACATAAAAAAACCGTTCGGGTTTCCAAGAGTCATGCGCTTAGAAATGACCGGCGCACCTGTACTGATGCCCCGAAAGCGCTGGCAGACACACGGACAGAATGTCGGTTGCCATCAGCAAAGTTGCCGGGGAAGATACGCCGCACCGGATTGGGGTCCAGTTGGTACAGCTCGACGACGACATGCCCGGCCTCGTTCAAACCAATCACCAGTTCGGCTTGCTTACTGTGGTGCGACAGCATTTAACAGTTATTGCAGAGATGGTGGTATATATATCTTCCACCATGTAACGAATTCAATATATTATAGTATAGTAAAATTAGGGCCCGAATTCATAACTTACTCGTAGAACTGCACGAGCAACAGAGCGACTTTGCTAGAAGGTTTGTAATCCGTGGAGAAGGCCAATCGCACCGTCATACCGCTAGAGAGCTTGAAGTTGGTGCCGCGGCCTGGCTTGTACTCCACAACAGCCACCGACTGGTCAGAGAACGTCGCACCGATATCTATCACATTGAGACAAATTTATATCGCTATAACACCATCCGCTCCTTGCAGTGCCCTTACCTTCAGTGCAGTTTGCACCAGTGAATGAGGTATTCCGGCAGTTACATTCACTCGGCTGCTCCGTGTCTCCCCAGCGATTAATGCACATTCCACCATACTGACACGGATTATAAGTTTCGCAGGACGCTTCACATCCTTCCACAACACCTAATCAGTATTATTCAAAACCCTTTAGCACCACCATGTGATTTCGTTTCAGCTTGGATGCACCAACCCAAGTCGGTCCTTTCAGTTACTCGTTCCGGGTCCGTCGAGTTGAACACATCGATGACATTCTGTCCCACCCGCAGGCCTCGTAAACACCCATAGAATCCCGTCAGCTGGGTATTGAATGTCGACCGCACGCCGCCCACATACGCGTCCGTGTATGCAGTGGTGGCGTACTCTCCACGGGGCGGCGTGATGGTCTCCAAACCGACTGTTGCCCGGCTCCATGGCTTTGATTTGTATAGCTGCAATCCGGCCACGGTGGCATCGACATCCAGACTGTTAATGTTGTCGAAGTCAACGGACAGGTCCACTCGATTTTCCCACCGACCAACGTGCAACTGATGCCAACGACCGTCGCTCAGTCCGTCACGGGTAACCTCCAGACGGCGAATGGAGTTCGCACTGTTTAAAGTCATGATGACTTTGCGGCCTTCTTGCAAATGGAGCTGGACAAAGTTGTTATTGTTGTCGTGGGCGTAGAGCAGGATGCCGGTTCGTCGATGGGTACGGAAGCTGATACTGATGTTCTCTCGAAGGATGTCACCAGGAACGGAGTTCTTGAGGTAGGCAAAGGCGGAACCGGTGCTATTCGTCAGACTGAAGACTTTGGTGTTGATATCTGGAAAGCGAACATTAATAATCTGTATCTTATTAACATTTTCTCACAGAATTGTGTAAATTTTTACCATGTTCGCATTGTGCGCCAGAATGAGCAATCGGATTAGCGCATATGCACTCATAAATACCGCCAAATTTATCGAAACATTCGGCGTTGTTTTTGCAGGGATTAGGTGAGCAGGACGACTGGCATTCACGGCGGATTTGGCTAGACTTAGCCGCTTCGGCTGCCGCCGTTAGATCGACAGTCTGGCCGCCTCGAATGAGACCTTGTATGCAGCCGACCAAACCCGGCTCCAAGCCCCATCCACTAGCGCTGCATAGAAAATTATTGTTGTCGCCTTGTGGTTTACGATTGGTTATTGGTCATCACTGATGTACAGTACCTTGGATATCCACCAATGTACAATGGACCGTGGTATGGTCCAACTTTGTCATTTGGGCTCCACGACAGATAGTTACTATTTAAATCCGCCGTCAGACGAACTTCGTTGAAGCCGTACTCTAATCGCACCAAATGCATGACTTGATTATTTAACGGTCGCGGAACGACCACTGACAGCTCCCGTAAACGACCGCTGATGGTGATGTATAAAGTGATGGTGGTTGCTGTAGAAAAATAAGTAATTAACTGGTCACGGCACCGAATAGATTTAGATGCCAGAGTTTACCATTGCTGAAAACGATGCGCAGTGAGTTGCGTCCTGGCTGATAGAGCAACAACGCCTTTGTTAAAACAAGGTTGGTACGGAAGAAGAAGCTTATATCCTCAGTCTGGCCCAGAGTGGGAAATTGCAGATTAGAATTTTCGGAGGAGAATGACACGGTGCGCTCAATGTTCTCCCTCCCGTCACATTCTAGTGGACCCAGAGTCAACAAACCGGCGCCTTTCATGTTGCGCTTGATAAAGGTCATGTTGGTGATTCCCACGAATTCTTTGGTTTTGAAATCGCCTTCATCCACCTGTAATGAGTTCATAACTTCCTTCGTGTTACCACCATAATATATGCGTGATACTTTTCTACAACAGAACATGTTAATATATATAAACGTGAAACTGTCTCTGTCAATATATGCACTACACATTTGACGGACTTTATATGCAGCATGTACAGTCTAGAAATTTCAGTCGCGCTAATTTTCCCTTACCCGATCGACATTATCGTCGGCATCACAGTTGCAAGGGAGATCCTTGAGTTTTCTATCCAGAGCACAGACCTGCCCAGATGCTCCTGAAGTGCACGAACACCGGCCGGGCACATCCGACCCGAAGCTCGTGATGTTTCCCACATCGGCCACCGATCGGAACCATGTATGAGTGCCCAGCCTGTCAAAGGTCAATAATCAACCATTGTGTGTAACCATCACTACCATATGCTCGGATGTGACGTACTTCAGAGGGGCATTGCTGATACACCGGTAAGAGATATGTTGTCGGCACTGTTTCGAGATATCGATAAGCTTCTTCAGTGCCACTTTATCAAACTGGCGATACTGGATATTGTACTGACGACCACCACTGGGACCATCTCGTATCTCGGTGCCGGAACGGAAATTGTGGCCCACACTGGTAATTCCGCGCTGCTCTTGATTGCTCATGTTGCAGTTGACATAGACCGGTTTCATTGGCCCACTGCCGTCCAAATCGATTCTAGGAGAAGACCATGCAACAGTTTTCACGTGCACATGCATATACAAATAAAGGATCGCACAAAGCATTCTGTTATAGCGCAATACACGTACGCTTTATTAACGTTGTATTTTTAATGAACATCGAACAGACTGTAGCAAGATATGTCCGGTTATTCGATCATGTTGTGGAATGTTATCACTTACATGTGAACACCACTTCGCCTTTCTCCAGCTGAATACAGATCTGCACAGGTCTGCGCATAAACGGGCAGATGACAAGTTTTTCCATGGTAGCCGGAATTCTGGCAGTCGCAGGTCGGTCCGAAAACCCCGCTGATACATGGCGCATTGTTTTGGCACGGATTCTGCTCTTGGCACGTCTGTTCATTACTACATTGACCCACGACGCCATTCTGCGCTTTTCGGACGTCATACACTTGATCATCGACACGAATATTTCGAAAGCATCCATTCACTCCTAAGTCGCCCGGGCGACCGCCTAAGGATACCACGCCAGTTGGAGATAATTTCATATACTCCTCGGCCTTCAGGTCGACGTACTGTGAATCCACATGTAACCTGGTACCAAAAGGTCACCGGATACAGAATATTTTTGCGCAGTTCTCATAAAGTATTTCAAAGTTTTTTCTCTTTTGTACCTGATCATATGAGGCAACAGCACCGTATCTTGACCGCCATAAAACTGCGGAATTTTCATCCTGGCATTCGGATTCTCGGCCGCTTCTGCTGTTGCGGTTTCCACAGGAGGGGAATCGGCATCCGCGGCGGACGCTACAGGAACGCCAGCGTCAGCTACTGGAACCGGCGGTTCGGCTGCCACTTCGGCTGGCGCCGCCGGGGCGGCGGTAGCCCCTTCTGCAGGCGCAGCGGCGGCAGTTTCGGCGCTCTGTGTTGGTTCCACCACAGCCTCTGCCTTGGCTTCGGCATTTTCCACCGCAGGAGCAGCTAGTTCGACGGCCGCTGGTGCGTCCGCCGAGGGGGTGGTTTCCTGGGACGCTGCCGTTTCAGTTGCTTCCTCTGAAAATTCAATACATTACTTTATCAAGCATCCGATGCATTCATATCAAAAACAGGAAAGAATAAACATTCTATCGACTAAAAAATTCTAATTCTGGCAACTCATATAACTTCACAAAATGTAGTACGTCTACTAACCTTGTCGTTTGCGACGCTCAGAAGAACCGGGCCATTGTAGGAACAAGTTATGCCACTGACCATCATGGAGATTGCCACCAACGGCACCCTCCGACGTGGTGGTGTGCGCCGTTCCACTAGCATCGTAACGGATCAGCTCCAAATGCACTCCTTTGTCGGACAAGATAACCTTTAACAAAGCACAAATTTTGTCTCTTCTGCATCCACGGAACCAGTATCAATCGGAGTATACTTTGTATTCTTCTCCGCTCGTCAAATTTCCCCCGACAATTTTTGTCGGCAGAGACTGTCCTTCGCGTTTTGGTAGACGGAACGACAACTGCAGCGTCTTGTAGGGTTCCAGTGTGGATGCCAGTGGTAGTGCGACATCCGGCGACAACAGTGCCACGGACAGATCTTCCTGTCGGAGATCGCTGCAGGTAAAGGACACCGGCGCCGGAAAGAGTTCATGGGATTCGTGGACGGTGTTGACGGAAGCGATGGGGTGGGCGGAGTGGAGATCATGGAGGATACTGGTTGTGCCGTGGTAGATTCGTTTCAAGCAGCCGATAAATGGCCGCGATGTTTCGGCTCTAGTAGGTTCTATATATAAGCCAATGATTAACGACATAGCACAAATTAAAGGCAAAAATTAATTTACCGTCGGAATTTGGGAGATTGGGTTTGTACCCAATGTAGACTTCCGGTGAGAAGAAGTGTTTTTCTTGTAAATGCCGCAGACCGAAATTCTTCTCATCCGTGTCGATCTTGACGATAATCTTGGAGTCTTTTAATTCCACCGTCAGTGAATGCCATCTATTTCAGGAAAGGTCAGATACAAGGATTGTTTCGTGCTGAGGACCACTGAACTTACTGGCCGTCGGACAGCAGTTTATGCTTAAACTCCAGAGCGTTGTCTTGTTTAAGCGAAGGATTCCAGATTATAATACGTAGATACTGGTCAATCAACACCGCGGTGACGGTCTCCTCACTGTGATCGTCCGAATGGCCTTTGACATTTAGGTGGAATAAAACTCCATCGGGAAACCGAGTCTATAAAATAATTACGTACAATAATTATAATTTTATTTATTTATTTATTTATTCAGATGCAAATACCAGTACTAGTGTAAGGAAAGCCAACTACTGAGAAGATCGTAATACGTCGAGCGAAGCTTATTTTGACGCTCAAACAGCTCATATCAACAATAATTTAATAAAATTATGAGGGAATATAATTATTATTACAAGTTTCGGAAATATGTAAAATGTTTGCGTACTTTGAAATCCAAACGTATGCGACTATATCCGCGATACAGCATATCGTGGTTTGCAGTAGAAATGAATTGGTTTCCGCTTAAGGTGATCGCTTCCGTATCTAACACATAAGAAGCTTTATTATCAACAAAATTATTTGTTTAATTGCATGATTTTCTGTGCCACGGTATTTTTTTCTTAAGTTTTAGCATTTACAACAGCCAATAAAACACCCCGAAGAATTTCGATGTTAATCGCTCGCTTGCCTGGTTGCGCACAATCGCTGCCCGTGAATTCCGTTGCCGAACAGTCGCACGTTACTTGACTGTAATCGTCGAAGCATGTCGCTCCATTCTGGCAGGGATTATTGGTTTCGCACCGGTTTTCGCATCCCTCCACGAGTTCCGCATGATCATGGGGAGTGAGAGATTGCAATTTCGTACTACCATCCACATCAATATGTCCGAATTTGACGTCAAACAGACACCCGTTCAACTGGTTATCAAACGATCTGCTGTCTCCTTTGCCTAAACCATATACCGCAGTTCTGGTTTACCGATATTTACTAGTACCGTAGTAGTACGTATGTACGCTGTGCACAAATAAAATTAAATAATTTTACAAGTGGTGCCTACAGAAGTATAAAACATGTGACATATTGAAATGAATTGGAACCTTACATATCGAGACAAATTTGCATTATTTTATGTAACACAAAATTATTTACTTGACTACTCTGTACATGTGTTTACGAGTAATTGTTTTTTGGGCGACAAAGCCACGACTATGGTCTATATGTACGGCTTCTAACTTTCAAATACGTAGTCAGCATTGTACAAGTACAATGGATCTACGCCGAAACTGGACATTTCAGACTCCTTTCAAAAATTGTATACGAAAAGAACTTAGTATATATGGCAAAAAAATGGTTCTTAATGGATGATGAATCATAATGTATGCATTCCGTAACATTTACGAGTTTTCTCGACTTAATGCAGCACATTAAATGAGGTTTTGATATGATTTTAATTCTGTCCATGTTTTGGCATAACCCGTTATTCAGCCAAGAAAGTTCGCGTTAATTAGTGTATTTTTTCGCGGGTCGTTTACAACAGACCCCGTTGGCCACTGTTGATGGGCAGCGCGGCAATCACGCTCAGAAAGAGTGATTGTTCTGCATCTGTTAGCGACTTTGGGTGTCTTCTTTATTCGCACAGAAACACCCTGAAGTATTTACATTAATCTCGTTTTATATATCAAAATGTCAGAGTTACCTCCAAATGTCACCGTATACAGCCCGGCGTCATTTCCGGCCGAGTCCTGTTCGGCCGATGTTGGGTTTTCATGGTGCAATGCGGTATACAGCAACGGGAAGCGGTTCTCAGGAGCATTGTCGACGGTCAGACGAAGTAACGGATTTTGGCTGTGAATGTCACGGAAAAACCGCAGAGTGTGGAATTCATTGTCGGACACAACTGCAACAAAACAAGAATATGCAAAAATTTGTATAATAATAAATAATTTTATTTACTTATGGCATACAGTTTCTGTTTAATTCAAACTAGCTTAAAACGCAGTATGAAATGACTTAAACATGATACGTCTTACAAATTAAACAAACGCCTCATTGATGACTAATGATAACTGATTTAGAGATAAATCAGCAAATAATGCAAATAGACGATTACCACAGTTGTCATTAACTATAAGTTTGCAGAAATAATTTAGTTCGTTATCCTCAAAAGTGCAGCGTTTATTTTTAATTACGTACACTATTCTGAATTGTGTACTGAAATAAATATTTCCACAAATTTTTTAGTAGAGTTTGACACAGCAACGTTTGTCTTTGATTATCGCTTAACCGTATCATTGCTACATTAATTTCTACTTGCCCAGGAAATCGATCGACCTTAATTCCGTGTAATGGACAATAATTACAGCTGACCATTTAATTTCGACAGCTAGATAAAACATTACAAGTTTTATGTGGCGAATATGTCGCGATCTGGTTTGAGAATGGCATCTGTGGCTGACTTATAAGAGAGCAGAAAATTAGTTCAGCCCTTGAGAAAGATCAACATTTCGTTAATCAATAATCATCTTTGTTACAGGTCATCCGTCAAAATAATATCAATCCAGCGTATGATCGCTTGCATCAGACGCAGGTTTTATAAAACGATCTGGTGCAACAGCCGATAAGGCCGTTTGTAATTTCAGCATTTTTTGGACGCTTCAGTGGTTTCGTAATTTTCTGTATCGTTACCTGATGCAACCAACAGGAGCTCTCGGTAACGCTAACAAAGCTAACACAGTTTCGGAAGTCTATCGGCACGTGTTCAAGTTCCGATGCTTTAAAGGCAAAAACACCGAAGCTTATTCGGTAAGAAGGTTTTGGTAAGAATGATCAAATGCTTATAGATGCATACTTGGATAATTTTCAGCAAATGTACAATGACTGACTTTCCGTTGTGCTGTGACTGACAAATTTCACTTTATTAAGTTTTATGTATATATTTTTTATATCACACGACACCGTTCTGGTCCAGTAAAAACTTTTTTTTTGCAAAAGCTTTTAAATACATTCACGAAAATGTCAAGTTCGAAATGAGAAACATTCCTAATAAAAAACTGACTGGGTTTCAATTTAGCAACTAGCAGCGGCAGAAGTGGAACTTTACAAATCGCACATATTTTCCATCAATTGACCTTTTATAACAGCTAATTTTCCGGCCACACTGCGGAGCAATATGGTGTTTAAAAAGCTGCACCAGCTGAGGCTATTTACTAATGCGCTTAAGTGGTCAGTTTCCATTAGCCGAAATCCGTGCATTCGGATGATAGCCGGCGACATATTAATGGAAGTTATCTATTACGGAACTGGTTTGTCTCTTGCGATATGATTATTATATATTTCCATGTGCCTTTTTGTGCTGAGTAAATCGGCTACACAGAATCGCGATGCTGGCCACATTAACCCATTGAAGCTACGGCGCGATTGACAGTTTGGATGATTTTTTCAAAAGACCACATTGTTGCCGGTAGACAGTGCCGGCTAATGCAAGTCTTTTTCAGCGCGCGCTGTTCTTGTCGCAGTAAGTAACAGACAGCACAGAATGAACAACCAACGCGAGCAACCTGTACACGTTTATACATGAAGTTCATCTACCGCCCCGGGGGATCCATGGATGCATTAAAACAAACATCATCTTAGAAGGCTTTTTCACTGCCACTTGGGAAAACACCATGATTCCTTTATAATCATCACAGTTTGATCCAGCAAATCCTAATTAAACGCTTCCTCCCAAAGTTATTCGTAAAGTCCTTTCCTCTTCAACTTATAAGTACCAGAGCCGTAGTGTCAGAGCGCTGAAGCACTCAAATTTATATGTTTACGGCTCACAATCGGCAAAGTTAATCAATTTAAACCAAAATTAAGGAGGAGGATAAATCAGCTAATTAAGTTGATTAGAACTATTATTTTGTCTTATGGCAATAACACCGTTTGAGGATGCATCAAGAATGATTGCGACAATTAGAGAAAGTTAGGTACTATAAGAAGAAAGTTAGAAGGTAGCGCAAATGGATTCTTAAATTAAATTTTTCTTGCATATTTTTGTTAACCAAAATGTATAAGCCGCAAATTAAAATATTTATGAATAAAAAAATATTTACATTGGTAACTGAGGTTAGTTACAACTGAAGTGCAGGGCACGGTGTCTCATTTCGTTGTGCCGGTTAATTCAGTGTGCACACCGGTCGATGCGCGATGCGTTCTTGACGCTGAAAGTCCTTCATTATACAAAGTGCATCACGAATTATTTCGAATTGCACCGGCTACATTATAAAATTGGTAGCAGTAGAATATGGTAGCTTGATGAACTATAAAAAGTTTTACATTGCCGGAAGCGCAACGAAGACGCCGTAAAACTTCGGCAATAAAAGCGCTCTAACGCTAGTCAGTAAATTATATGTCTACCTGCAAAATGCACGATAGCCAACGCATCCATCACTTTGATAATTGCCAGATAGAAGGATGTGCTGTAAGTTTTTAATGTCCATAAAATGTTCAGAATGACTGAGCGCATAATCATGGGAGCGCTTCTGCCTTTTATATAATAAGAGCACACTTATCGTCCACTACAATTTACGTGTTGTGTACAAAGAAATTCTTTGTCAACTTAAAAATTTGAAAGTCACACTAGAAATAAATCAGATCGGGGATCTGTGCATTAAGAAATATTACTTAATTTTATCATAGTAAACTGCAAAATTATATGTGTATTGCAGTGCTGTTGTCAAAAAATTTCCCAAAGGCCAAAGCATCTTTAATTTGAAGTTCAAAATTTAAAATGAGTGATGCATTGTTTTAAGGTTGGGAAGATGTTTTATAAAATTTAAATAAACCACATGATGATAAACGGAAATAACAAATGCATAAATAGCACGCGTAAACGGCACTCATGGTGTACGGTACCGCAACTTAATTGCTATTAATTTGCTTTAATTTATGACAATTATTCCACCCATCATTCCGCACAACTTACACTGATTAACAACGAACTGTTCCACCCTCTCGCCCAGCTGATTCAGCAGACTCAGTCGTCCCTGTGCGATCTTTAGTACAAAATGCGAATCCTTCGAATGTTCGCCACCGCCGGTTGGCTGCTGTCCTGACAATGACGACGGCACCCGGTCAATGTGCAGCAGCACCGCATTTAGGCTGCGGGTCCGTACTCGGAAGGCCACATGTTGACCGGCGGTGGCCGTCCACATGGGCGGTTGGTAGGAAATATGGGAGGACTTGGATGCAGATAGCGTGTACATTTTCCCATGCTCCTGCTCCTGGGAAAGGACGACCGGGAGGAGTATACATATGCAAAGAAAGCGCCACATATTGGCGGTTAAGTCCGTGATATTACTGGAAGCCGGCCGGGGGATTATTATGCCGGCCGATATTTTTATGAGTCCGTTTTAGGGCGTTCCCGTAGTCGCTCTACCTGCAATGAGTGTGTACACTTTGAAAAGTCAGGCAAATTGCTGCTATGTAAACACAATAAAAGGGGATTTACAGTATATCGGAAAGTGTTCGAATTACCACGTTGTGCCACAATCCGATCAATTACACACTTCTATAATGCAGCACCAGCACGGCGTTTTATAGAATTAAATAAATGTATTTAATTTAAATTAAAAGAAATTTAAAATTGCTAATTAACTGGTAGTCAGATATATTTTCCGAGACAGATAGAACTGCTGTTGCCCTCTGGGGTATGCTTGAAGATTCAATGAAATTAATAAAAATCGTATAAGTCGACATATACCGGCAAAAGTGCGCCAAGAGTTAAAAGGTAAACGAAAAAAGGCAAAAACGCACATTGAACGTAAACTGACCATAACACGAAGCAGATCATGGATCACTTGAGACGGCGTAAATTTGTAATTCCCCAGAACAATGGCAATCAATCCTCGATGAAGCAGAATCCCCGGTAATATGCCGGTGCCAGATGAAGCGTTACCATAGGAGAATGGTCGATACTCTATATGAAATCTATAATAATGCGTATTTGAATTGCTGTAAATTCAACAGAGCATATCGGTTCCGGCAAGGAAAATGATTTGAACAAGTCTACGGAAAAGCAGCCCATGAGCAAATAAAGAGAGTATAGATGCCGTTATCGTTACTTGTAAACTGTAACTATAACGCCCCAACCTGTCTGCGATGCCGTAAAAACCTGCGAATATCATGCTCCGCAAGCAGCAAACCGTTATATTTGCCTTGCACCGTACCTTGCCTCCTAAGATAAGCGATAGATGTCTGCTAAATTTTGACGCTGGTAAACCTCTTCTCGCCAGTACAGAGAACTTGGCCATTGTGCATTATTTAAATGTATGTTGTTGCGGATATCCTAAATTATCAATTCTCCTGTAAATTAAGGTACCAGCCACTAATAAAAACTTTTCTGCTCATACAAAAGCAGATGCTTTCCGCGTTACTTGTACTTATTGTTTCAAAATGTCCTATCTAACAAAAAATAACTTGCTTAAATAAAATATGTAGTTCAAATAAATAATTTTATTTGCAAAGCAATCTACCGTAAAATTAGATTATACAGCTCTAGAGCTGCATGCATGCTTTGGATAGATCTATCCAAAGTTACTAACTGTTATTTAACTACAGCTTGTACACATACCCTCGATAAATATGTTTTGAATTATTGCTTAATTGGGTTGCTTAATTTTGTAGCCTTCCAAAGACAGGCGATCGTAGTGCGCCTACATTCAAACTTTTGGTTTTACTTCTGTAGTTCTTCAGCAATCGTTGTGCGCTTCTGACTACCCATACTTCTACGAATAACTTGACCAATATTAAATTACCAAAATTTTCATCATTTTCTCAATGGTTCATGTCAATGATTTCCCCGTATACCGGTACCTCACATTTCGAGACAGCGCAAACGACAGAACTGATTTCGAAGCCGGTAAGAATTTAAAAATTTTAGTCAGACAGAGCACAGTCATGTTGTTTTTGCTCCCAGCATTACTAACACAGAGGCACTATAATTCACGGAGCAGACGATTCGCCGATGAGAAACCGGCTAACTGAGAAAGTTCGGTACGTATACGCGAAGCTTGTCGAACGGGAATGTTAATCAGCGTGATAACGGCGGAACACCTGCCGTACAGTCAGTCAAAACAGCTTATCAATCAGATTGCGGACAAACTTAATTATGTTGCTCCTTATCGGCCGGGGTTGGCCGTTAACGTTATTAACGGACCCGTAAATGCTACATGCCGCGACTATGATGGAATGACTAACGAGTGCAACACGACGGGGATACCGATGCTGTCCTGTCATGCCAAGATAAATCTACTTGTATTCACTTTTGTTTTTACTCAATTAACGGTTTCCTCAACTGTAGCGCTCGAAGAGCACTTCAACTTCCGACACTACAATGTCAACGAAACCGTAAAGTGCACTGCTTCTCCATGCGTGCTGAATGCATTCGACAAAATTTCAGTGAAGATTGTTTCGTTTTTTCTCTAGGAGCGACAGATCGTACAACTTACTATTAAAATTTACAGGTGAAAAATTATTAAATAGCTAATCCCCATACAGAAACAACTTTTTCAAAGCATGTTTTATTTGAGATTTTTCTCGGACACTTGCCTTGCCATCCGCCATGTCGCATAGTGTTGTTCACAATACCATGATTCACTGTTTAATTAGCCGCGTCTTTCTCACCGGTTTAAGCGCTTCTTACTAATCAAATACGAATTCAAAGTATTTGTATTCCATATTTACAGAGTACCCTACCTGTATTTCGGTACGCGTAGTGATTAGATTACCATATTAGTCACAATGTAGCCGATACCGGCAATCACGATAACTATCAACTGGAGCACTTGAAAAGAAAATAACTGATGATATCATTACTCTTTTTGCGATAATACTGTACTGAAATGTTCACAGCTGCATCTCCCCTTCACTACGGTGTAGGTTTGCTCACTCAAATCTATCTGCTAACATCAGTTTTAGCAGGTATTAATCAGACGTATTATTCGTTTTCAACGCAGTACCTTTTTTGAGCAAGCCTTACAAAGCCCCAATGGGAAAATTAGTGATAATTATTGCAATCGTGTATAACTACTGTATCATTTCTGTAGAGCAGGACGCGCAGCTTTTAGGAAGAATAGTGGCGCCCCCCAAAAAACGCCTCCTCGCCGGTATAAACCTCTGGCTCCGTGACGTTCGAACTATTTGTATCACAGGACACAATTTCGATAATTACGGTAATTAGAAGCGTAAAGCTATCACGCATTTCAACTGCTTCGACCAGGTTACCTCGTTTGTCGAGGTGCTTCGGCGCCGAAAGGTCAGGACTTGCAATATTACATAGTAACATGCGAGAGCCTACTTCCCGTTATTACAAAAACTCGCCACACCTTTATCTAGATTCCTCTTCATCTTCTTCTTCCAAGAACTGGAAAAAGCTATCAATTTGTGACAAGGGTTCTTCTGTAGATCTTACCTCTAGAAGTTTCTTGGGTACATCTACTGAGATACGACGATCTAACTTCTGGTCTCAACGATTTTTTATCTCACCCCATTGGAGCCGGCATGCTTTTTAAGGAAATAAAACATTTGTTGAATAAATGTGGTCAGTTTATTAAGTGACACCACACTAGTGACCCACTACAGATGGTTACTGTACATTCAACACTGCTGCTATGTAATCTCAACCAAGTGATCTCTGCGGCTCATTGACAACTTAATATTATTTTCGATATGAAAAGTACGAGTAATATCAATAATACGTCTTTCGCTGCAGAATTGAGCATTTAAGATTTCTCAGGTAGATATCTGTGCCCAGATTATATTAATTTCGACATCCTTTTTCAGAAGCTTGATTTTTGACCGCTACTTTTTGTTTTCGGCATTTGGGGTAAAAAAATAGGTATAATCCTATTTATTAATGTCAAGCTCCTGTATACGTTGGGAGATCTCGGTGCGCGCGTTACGCTAAGAGTGTCTCTTGGTTAGACAGTAGAGCCCATGTTTAATTATTGATTGAACTTAAGTGGCCACGAGAAAACAACCCCTAAAGTTTTTCTGTATAGCGGCAAAGAAAGTACACTACATGTAGTACGAAGTCCAACATAAACCGGCAGCACCAGTCATTAACGGAAGAAGTTGTAAATTTTTAAGTCCTTTCCACGATTCACCTGAGAAAAGAAAGTTAGCAGTTCTGAAAAAGAAGAATCCCAGCGTCCAGCGTATGACGATAACGTTGTTGTGGTTAAAGGTCGTGGAGTGGTTGCTGTGCAGGTATTGACACAGTCTTCTATGGTCGGTCTCGGCCAGTAGTTGAAGAAGTCCGTCGTTGTCGTCGGTGTTGCAGCTCCTGGTGTCGTATACGTCACCGCTGTGCTAGTCGCTGGGGTTGCGGCTGTTGTCGTAGTTGGTATTGCGGTTGTTACTGAGCCGAATAGAAGCACGACTTTCATAGTCAAAAGCATGACATTAAATGTCCATCGCGCATTACGAAACATACCTGTCGTCGTTATCCACCAGGCGTCCTGCCAGGGCGGTACCCAGGATAAACAGATTGTCAGGCAAGATGGTAGATCGTTGGCAGTTAAGGTCTCCCGAGCTGTTAGCGTATCTGACAACGTAGCGTCGATTCTGGCGCGCAGTAAATCAACAGGATAAGAATGACGCAATGGCATCACGAGTGTGCATCCCAATGCAATCCAAAAGCAACGATATTCATTCATTGCTGCTACCTAATTAGAATAAGTAACCGTAACCCTGGCACGAGTATTAAGCCGGTGCAACTGCTAGCAAACCGAATGCGAAACTTTCAAAATAACATTTGCTTCGGATATCTATCCCATGTCCAGCTTTGCACATGTGCAACGCATGCCTCATGATATCATAGTGCAACTTCAATTGCTTTTCAAGGTCGCGCAAAAAAGAAGTTTTCGGGCAAGAAAAAGTCTAGTCAGGCATAATAATAATTATGAATAATAATCGTATAGTTTCTTGTTGCATAATCGGTAACATAACTCGCCAAACATCTGTTCGATCTGCTGTAGTAAAAATGGGTCATGCAAGTTTTTCTCTATATTTCTACCGCGTAGGTTTGTCCGTCCGCAGTGCTAATTTGCAAAGCAAATACGAGGTAACCAAGAATACTAAGCGCAATACAACAGACAACGGCTTATTAGTCACTTAAATTTCTGCCAGATATTTCTAAACGTATAAATGAATGTTAAACTTGCGTACTGCTATAGAACTGTAGTCATACAAAATCGCAAATTTCTTTGTCAATACCTTTTGCAATAATATAATTCTTGCAATTGTCCAAAGTATTTTGCGCAATCCGTCAAATTGTGGCTTTTTTTCTATCGTTTTGCGAAAATTTTCTGAACAGCTGGTCCAATTGACAAAAATTAGCTTTAGCCAATAAAACTCGCGCTTGTCACTACAAGGTTGTGCAGAGCAGTTTGAATCTTTGTTGGACATTTGTCTGACATTTAAAGTTTGTGTATTGTAAGAAGCGTTAGATTCTACAAATATTTCAATCATTTAAAGTAATACATTCTGTTATCAACGGTGACCCTTCCGTAACGACCTCATCCCGCAAGGCACAATTTGTCGTACCGCGGTTGCTCTGGCACTGATCCAAGGGAATTGCGAACATGTAGGGTTTTTCTACGTCTGCCTTCAAAGAGCCAGCGTTGGCAATGCATTTACAACAGCAGAAGTACTTACTTTTAATACGAGTACCATACATACAAATGATACAACTGATAAAATGTGTTACAATACAATTATACTCCCATCTTATGTTGCAAGCGATACAGAAAGCTGTATGCTTGACCACTTGAGACAAAGACGTCAATCAACACTTTATCACAAACCTTACCGGCTACAGTTTTATTTGAAATTTTCCAAAAATGTGCTTGATAAGCGAATGACTTCTTCTGAAGTAGTGTATTGTTGCCCAGGCGAGCACAATTTTCCCAAGCAGGCCACTCCAACAACCGCACGCTGACGTACGAAACCTTAGAACTAGTATCAACCTGGAGCAGGGCCTGCAATACGTATGCAGTATTCGGTATACTAATATCGTCTAAAATATAAAGTAACAGTACTTAATTTTCTCTGGTTGCCGTAACACGCATCCTCGACAAGGCACCAGTAAGACAGGATTTGCTGAAAGGACACATTTCGCGGGAATGGAAGCGGCATACCACATGCTGTTTGTGCTCAGTGCAGGAGTGTGGCAAGTCGAACAAATATATAAGGTGCCGACATGCTGGAAATTCGTCGCCAAATCTTTTCGACTGTCACGTTTTTGGCCATTTCGCAAATTTTCGCAAATTTCCATACCAGAAAATGTTGCTGTTTGTTGTCACTTTCCTGGCCGGCCTCTCGCTTTGCTATGGTCAGTGCACTGTTCCCTATAGCACCGTCAAAAGTGCACTGCCGTCGATAGATGTCAACAAAGTAAGTCAGCGGTGCATTTTCGTGCTACAGTGCAGGGTAACATAAACGTAATTAATGTTAGCGTCAAAATTTCGTAAAACGATATAATAGCTTGTAAACATGTTGTTTTACAGTACTTGAGGTACGGGTAACTCAATCTTTAGAAAAGTTCAGAATCAGTTTTATTTTTTTGTTAGTTGTGTACTTGCGCTATTATATTACAATCGGAATCACAAAACGATTTATATAACACTGTCAATAAACAGCGCGTAGTTATGCGACTATTAGTGCAGTACAAACTGCACTTCGATAGAAGTGTGAGTAAATCAATAAAAATGAAAGTTTTTTGGCTGTGTTAATAGGTTAACGGGATCTGGTATGAATACTGCGTTAATTTTGACCAAGTTGGCTGGAATATTCTGAAGAACGGCACTCTCCGCGGTGCATGGCCGGGAGAGCCATCACCCCAAGTCAAATATGGTGCCACCTTTTGGATCAACTATTACATCCCAGTGGATAGCGCCAAAAACACTCCTAATGACCCCATGAAGTGTACCGCGATCTGGCATCACGGAAACATGACGTCAATGGGAAAACGTTATGCGATGTCAGTGTACGGCGACATTACCAATCAGCAGATGGGTAAGAAATGCTGCCCGTTGTTAACTTTCGCCCTCTACTCATGCATGCTACGGCGTCGTACTATTACAGTAGAGGTACCTGTTGAACGCAGCGAAAACATAAATCCAGGCAGGCTTTCGAAAACCGATTCCGTGGTGGTGCAGCCATAAAATATACCGGCTTATTTTGATCTTTACAGAATAAAATCTAAAGACAGTAATGGAACTTTATTTTTTGAACTCGTTATTAAATAAATTAGCTAATACGTGCAACAACTATATTTTAAAAACACAGGAATTGGTATGGCTTAGATTCTGCCCATCATGATAGCGCGTTTTTCAGTTAACATTACTACAACCATTGTGTACACCGATTACACCACCATTGAGATCGTTCAGGGATGCGACGACTATCCACCGCCCACCAACAACATCTGCACACAACCCATGTTCTGGGTGTTCACCCGCGTCAAGCCACCGACTCTCACTGCCAAACAGCGGGAATTTGTTAACAATGCAATTGACTACTACCTGAAGCCGTTGTGCAGTGGCTTCAGCAAGATGAAGCTGTCAACCTGGGATCTGGGTATGGAGCCCAAACTGCCGCCCTGCAACATCGCTCAGGGCACACCAGTAGCCTTCCCTTGGCCAGCCAATAGCGCCGCTTTCCAGGCCAGCATGCCGGCTGCCATCCAGCAACAACCTGTCTAATCTAGCAACGGCTGCATTTTCGTTGCTTCCATGGTGTCTTCAGCACAAATGTTGGCTTTTCGATGTAAACGGTGTTAAGTGCCGTTTGTTTCTGTTAAAACTGAAACAAGCTATAAAAGCTTTAGTAATGTGCGAATAAAATTGTTGGAAAAATGAAGCGAAAAATAAAAGAATTTACTCTTACGTTAGCGAAAAAAAAACACATCTGCCGCAAAAAGTTAACCACAAATTTCTTCCTCGGTGAGCTTATGGTTAGCGGCGAAGAAACGAGAATCAGCATCCACGATGCTTCATTAACGTCGCGAAACCAACACTGGTAGCACTCCAGTCGCACCTGCAGTGTACGCTCCATGCGCTTCTGTTTTGTTGTTCTGATAGTTCAATAACATCATGCACATCATCGCAGCATTTACAGAATACGTACGGTAGTATTTTCTGTACTGCACGTATAGATTCGATTGTGTACATAACTGTACTATATATGGTCAACAGAAACCTTCTGGTAGTAAATAAATTCATGTAAAATGTCAGGTGCAATGCACCCGTAATTTAAGATGTTGAGCAGCGCTCAACTTCGCTATGCATTTTAGTGTAACCACTGGTAATTAAGTCACCGAGATCGTGATTTAGCATGGAAATTTAAACCTCTCTAAACAAAAATCGTAAGAAGAGCAGTACGGTGATAGCCACAGGAGCATAAGCCAAGTAAGAAAAAACTAAGCGGCAAAAAATACACTAATGTAAGGTACACTTTATGCTAATATGCAAAAGAAATTTTGAAAGCTGCCATAAAGAATATCGTCTCTAGCGCGCATGAATGAATTCAGGATGTGAATGAACCTCCATGCCACTGGTGATTCGCCTATTTGTTGCAGATTCCGCCATGATGCAGCTGCGTTTATTATTTCGAAGGTTATACGGTTTGGTCGACTCGACTGCTTGACCACGATAGGTTTTGTCATATACTGGGATCCGGACGCTCCAAACTTCTCAGGGTAGAAGTCTAGAAGATACTGGAAAGATATATGGCTTCCTGATGTCGGCTTCCTGGTGTTATCATCGCTTAAGCGGTGAAGTGATCCCAAATTCCTTTGTCAGCTAATATGCCGGTGTTCCAGAAAATTCGCGATTTTAAACGACCAACTTTTCGTTTATGATGGTCAATAGCTCCATCCTGGATACAAGCACACCTTCCATTACATTTCAGCATGGTGCCATGATCCCGGCGAGAATTGACAGATTAATATTTATGGTAAAATTCAAACTCGATGTGTTAGGCTCCTGAAAAAAAAGCTTTTTGTTGTGCAACGGATGCTTTAATGCAAACCTAAGTTTTTCTTCGTTTTTCCATGTTGTTCATGCCGTAATCGCCTTCTAGGGTGGCTGCCGTCTGGAAATAAGCATGAGACACGTAAACAGCCAGATAACCAAAATACGTAAACATTTAAACATTCTGAAATTACGCCAACAATGTGAAATACTTTTCGTATCCAGACAGACGCCCCTTTGCCAAATTGCGAATGTGGAAATACATAGATACTAAGCTTACAGCAACAAAATAAGTCAAACTATAATAAATTTTTTATGCACACATTGCGCGTTACGTTGTTTTCATTGTTAAGCCATTTTTTATTGCATACGGTATCTGGCGATTACAAAGACTAAAAATCTGTGTCTGACAACCTGAATTTTCGTCAGCTTAGCGCGAAAATTTAATAATTTCCGTGTGGCTTTCTTTAGCTTACCTTTATGCGCAAACGTTGCAACTGTCGCGTTAGGAGTACAAAAGGCAAAAATTGTGTTGCGACAGCGATTTCAGCCAGATCGCGCGGAATAAGCCATGCACCAGTAAATTTTGCCGCCAAAAGTCAACAGTACTGTAGTGTATAGCCGTATATAAAACGCAAGTGCATCAAAGGTGTTTGTCAGTTTATATAAACCGTGTCTTCGAATTTATCACACAGTGTTCTGCGACATTTTACGCACTTAGTTTTTGTACAGAGTACAGCTAAAATAAAAATGTTGCTGCTTATTGCTGCTGGATTTCTTGTTAGCATCTCGCTGTGCTGGGGTCAGTGTAATGTTCCTTATAATCCATCCAGTACTCTACCTCAAATAGACGTGCAGAAGGTAAAATATCATTCGTTTTGTTGCCTCTTGTCAGTCTTCTGCTAGTTGTAACTTGCGTATATTTTGCGTTTTAATATAAATGGCAGTTCACTGAATTATGCTGAACATTTGATAGGTCAACGGGATCTGGTACGAATATGCCGTAGGTTTCGATCAAGTAGGCTGGAATATTGTCAAAAACGGCACAGTGCGAGGAATATGGCCGATGGACAGAAATGGTCAGCAAAAGTACGCTGCTACCTGGTGGATCAACTACTATATTCCGGTTGACCCTGCTAGAAACACCAGCAACGATGCCATGAAATGTACCGCTATCTGGCATCACGGCAATATGACCTCACAGGGCAAACGCTATGCTATGTCCGTGTATGGTGATATCAATAGTCAGATGGGTTAGTACTTAGTACGCAGCCAATGGCAGCGGTGGTGTTTCAGTTCTATCTTTGTCGTTGCCACCAAACATTAAAAAATATTTTTTTCTAAAAAATTATGTTTTAGCCTAGCTAAGATGTAAAAGTCATGCATGCATGACTTTTAAATCTTAGCTAGGTTAAAACGTAATTTTTCAGAAAAAATATGTCCACGATTTTGCACCCTTTTAATTAAGTACTTTGTATTATAAGATTACTTCTAGGGGTAATAGCGCGCTCTGTGCGACACTCGTTCGTACGATCGAGGAATGCAGCCTTTCGAAAAACTGCTATAACACTAGTACTAGCAATGATTTTTCAAATCGATAGAAAATGTCAGATTTGCTTTTTAGTGAACATAACGACAACCATAATTTTTACCGATTATACCACTGTGGAAATCGTCGCTGGCTGTGACGACTACCCTGCTCCAACCGACAACATTTGCAGGGAACCGCTTTTCTGGGTGTTTACAAGAGTCAAACCGCCCACGCTGACACCACAGCAGAAGCAGTATGTTGACAATTCCATCGACACCTATCTCCGACCACTGTGTCGCGGCATTCGGGATATGCGTTTTTCGGGATGGAATCTGCCCATGGAGCCGCGATTGCCGCCTTGTAATATCGCTCAAGGAACACCGGTGCCGTTTCCATGGCCAGCTGGCAGTGCTGCTTTCCAGAGCAGCATGCCGACACCACTGCGACAACAGCCGATTTAATATACTCCAGAAGCTGATCTGTGTGTTTGCATCCACAAGCTTGCATTTTTGCGAGCTGTTACCGTATTAGTGGTTCACAAAACTTGGCTTCCTTTATGTAGACAAGTAAACAGCAAAGCGCCATCGTAGTGGGTGATGAATAGGGATCAGTTTCATGGTCTATCACATTAAAATGATTATGCTGCAGATTCTCTGTTTACAGCCTCTGGTTTTGACGACTGTTTGTTTAGCAAACTATTTTGTCATTACCGGTACTTCGTAGAATTCCTGATGCGCACACCATAGGTAACCGCATAACAGCCGGAAACTTTTGTCACCTTATCAATATTGATACGTACAGTAATTACGATCCTAGAAACGGACGCAAACTACTTGTAGATATCAAATCCGTTGCACTATTGTGATAGTGCTGACCGAACACTCACAATTGATACGCACCAAAAAAATCGCATTTCTGGTTATCGTAGATCTAAAATAAGTATTAAAACTGTTACAAGTAAAACTGAGTTCAATTTACTGGTGGGCTGCAGGAACTGTGAATATTAGGCACAGCGACAGAATAAGAGAAAAATAAAATGCACCGGCAGTATGTTTAGTTAAATGCTGTACATTACTTGCAATTCGCAAACAGGATTTACTTTTGCTGTCAAGCTTGTTTGATGAAACCGGTGCGTAGGAATTAAAATCCCTAGCATTCAAAATAGCTCCTTGGAACAATAGCTCCAAATCTTCTGCTAACGCCGCAAAACCAGACAATCGTCAGACTGCCAGAAAGCATGCTTCTGGGCATATGTAAAGTAAAGTAAGTGAGTACACAGCGTTATGTAGAAGAGCCTTCGCAACAGAATTCTGCAGTACAGTGCAACAAAGACATCAAGATTTTCCTCGATCTTCTTTCGTTTTTGAAGATTCCTTCTTTCCGACAGCATGTATCAAGCAACGAGCCTGTTGGTTGTTGTAGCCTGCGTGTTCGCAGTCATCCAAGTCTCTCTAACGCAACAAAGATGCAATATTCCTGTTAACCCAACGGGAATGCAGAATGTGGACGTTCCCAGAGTACATTCAACTTTCGCAACACTAATCCACTGCGTACATCTTCTAGTCTTAGGTATTTGCCTTTTTCTAGGTAAATGGTATTTGGTACGAGTATGGTGTATCGTTCGATCAAGTCGGCTGGAATATCATGAAGAATGGCACCATTCGAGGGGTCTGGCCTGGTGAAATTGGCCAACAGAAGTACGCTGCAACCTGGTGGATTAACTTCTACCAACCGGTTGACCCTGGGCGAAACACATCTAACGATGCAATGAAATGTGCTGCACTATGGCATCATGGCAATATGACATCACAAGGGAAACGTTATGCCGTGTCGGTGTACTTTGACTCCACATCTGCATTGGGTTAGTAAATTTTAGTCTTTTGTGCGAAATAAACTAAATTCAAAGCAAAATGGCCTTAACCAGCAGCATTTGCTGTGGTAACTTGAAATCTGTAATCACCGAGGAATTTCATGTTATGCGCTGTGTAGCAAATATTACCACAACGATTCTCTACACCGACTACGACACCGTGGAAATCGTAGCGGGATGCGATGACTATCCCGTGCCAGCAGACAACATTTGCCGGCAGCCATTGTTCTGGGTGTTTACCAGGGTGAAATCTCCTCTACTCACACCGACTCAACGGCAATTTGTCAATAGTGCCATTGAGCGATATTTAGCACCATTTTGTCTTACAATGAGAGATATACGTTTTTCTGGTTTTGATGTCAATATGCGGAATCTGCCGTCGTGTAATATCGCGCAAGGAACACCAGGACCGTTTCCCAGACATTTTCAGGTCACCATGCCCAATCCGGTGAATAGAAATCCGCTTTGACGAAAAGCATAATAAACGATGCATATGAAGTGTACAGTAATGTTGAACCTACACTCGCTGTTATCTTTTGACTGTTTCGCATACTGTTACACACTGCATTGTATTGTAATTGTCACAATAAAAGTTAACCGTTTTGTGTGAATGTATTGTATGCACCGGTAGAATATTAGCTACCGCCCTTTGCAGTCAAGCCTGCCGAGCTGGAGGACGTCAAAACGCTTTCCGTAAATGCTATCATTACTGTGCGGAATAACCGAAGCAAGCGGAGAGTAAATTAACAGCTATAGAAGGTGCGTCATGGCTGAAGGCAGTAATAAGAATTGATTAGAACAATCAAGAAGCATCACAGTGACTCCTGACAATTTAAAACAGTAGAAAATGCTGATGCGGTTTGACTTACGGACCATGGTTTGATATACAGTAAGTACTGTCTCCGGGCTACATGCTCACCTTCATCGTAGCTTGCAGCTGTTGTTCAAGCAGCCACGCTTCACACTTTTTTCGTGCACGTTCAGCTTCGTAGTTATAGTACTTATAGTCTTATACTATGAAACACTGTCCCACTAACAAGTAAGCAATTAAACTTTTAATGCATCAGGAAATGTGCTGATTTGTGATTTAGTGTTTCGCTATCTGTTCCTGATGTTAGCAGCTTTTAAATAAAGCTGTACTTTTACAATGGGTAAAAGAGTTAGTATCTTAACCATCGTCATTGATATTGGGATCTCCTTTTTCCCTTCACGCGTAGCCAATGTCCGAGCATGTCGTCGCGACAGTGTTTTGTAGATTGCACGAATCCACTGGTGTACAACGTCGCCTGCGAAGATATCAAAGGATCAGATTTGTTTAACGACTTAAAGGATTATAAAACCTCTAGTCAACCGATCCATCTGGCAATATGGAACTCTCCAGGTCTATCGCGCATCAGTGGGGTAATGTTGGATCCTGTGGCCAATGAGATGCTGCGGTTGGAGGTGGACAACCTGGAGACGCTGGAGTACTTTCCCGAACTGAGGCCACAGTACAAACTGAAAGAGCTCGTGCTGATGAACTGTCCCAAACTGAAAGAGATGCCGCTCGAGTTGCTTCCTCCTTCGTAAGTGCATCTGAGATACAGTGCATCTGAGATACATCTGAGATACAGTGTGCTTGCCGTGAGGAGGCAGTGTGTACATACAATGGTACGCCGGCATGGAGCACGATCATGCTCTATCAAAGGTCGTCTTTTGAAATACGAGTCCTACGCAGATATGACACTCAGACTTGTGGCTGTACTGTATATACACGATATCAAGGGACAGAGAAATCCCCAGGACCGCCCGCACTAGCTGTCGGTTCCTTTGACATCAATGGAGCCGACGCCTAGTGCGGGCGGTCCTGGGATTTCTCTGTCCCTTAATATCGTGTAAATACAGTAATATCACCATTATTGCTCTTTGTTTTTTTCTGCAGAATCGAACAGTTGACTCTGTTCAAAACCGGGATCACCGATCTGTGGAACGATTTCGAAGAGGCACCATCGCTGCCACTTGTACACGAATTTACCCTCTCCAATATGCGCATTGAGAGCATACAATCCGGATACTTTAAGGCTTTCCCAAACCTGGATACGCTGCAGATCCTCAATTCAGAACTGGCCCTAACAGCTCCTCGAGGCGATCTTATCAGCGCATTAAAGCCGCTAAAACGGCTACGCATAACGAACAACACCCTGCCATCTGGCTCGCATGCCATTATCTACGAAGGCGCCATGGCGGAAATGCAGTTAGCGGAGAATGCCTACATTGACCTCTCATCAAACTACTTTGAAATGCGCAATGAAGCTAGAGCATTAGCTGGTAAATTCCAAACCGCGCGCTACATTTCCCTCAAAGACAATAGCTTTCAGGATTTCGCTACCACAGCTAACGTGTTCACCCGCTTCACCCATTTGGAGTACCTGGACTTAGCGAATACCAATTTCTTCATCGCTACCGGCAGTTTAGCCGGGCTTCCCAGTTTAAAGGAATTATATTTGGGCAGTAATCGAATGCGTGACTTAACCGTGACTAACATTTTTCAGGGAGCATTATTTCGGAATCTCACCAGATTGGATTTATCTGATAACGAACTGAAATACTTGCCAATTGGTGTACAACCCTTCGCCGACAGTCTTGAAGAACTAATTCTTCGTGGGAATCAAATGAAATTGCCGGAAATTTTTACTAGTGGCGGACGAAGTTATGTTACCAGTTTTGACAAATTCACGAATTTGAAACGATTAGATTTATCCTACAACAAATTGGTGAAGCTGAACAGTTTACATCTAAGCCGAATCAAGAAGCTGCAGTCTTTGAACCTCGGGTGCAATGATTTTCGGCGAATTGATAAAGCATTTTTCAACTTTCTTCCTCGAAGTCTCCAGATCCTCAATCTGACGTTTTGCTTGTATGACCAAGGCGTACATTTTGAAAATGACCCGCTGCTTACTATGCCACCCATCAGCAAACTAATTATGCAGCAAGGTCAGCTAACGAGCGCGGTCTTTGCCATTTTCAAAAAGGCGCATGTGGAAAAACTAAGCGAGCTAGACTTGGGCTACAACAATATTGCCATTATTGATTCTGGATCTTTCGAGCCACTGTGGATGCTGGAGACTTTGAAGCTAACAAGAAACCGAATGCAGTCCATCGGACCACTTACATTTGCTAATATGGATAGGCTACTCGAACTAGATTTGTCTTGGAACAAAATTTATACGGTTACAAAAGATGATTTTGCCGGTTTATACAATCTGAAGACATTGACACTAACTGGCAACTCAATAGCAAGTTTACAAGCCGGTGCTCTGGATCCGTTAAATAACCTGAACCAGCTTTACCTCGGGTTAAACTTAATTAATGGTGACGATTTGACGACCGTGTTCAGCAAAGCCGGAGACAGTCTTATTCATTTGGGGCTGCAGTCCAATCCCGTTCGTTGCATCCCGGGGTCACTGTTTGGTAGACTGAGAAAGCTCAGGTGGCTCTATTTAAACAGTTCACGCGCAATCAGTCTCGATGTGGGATCATTTCGCAACCAACCAAGCAGAATGTCTAAATATCCGTTCCGACTGTGGGCATTTAAAGAGCCAGAACTGAGCGATATTGGTTGTCAGTCTTGGGAAGACTGGGCAACAGCTTTTAGGAGGTAAGCGAATAAAAATTATCTGGCCTCGAATCCACTAAATATGGCCTATACCAAGCATCATTCTAGGTCGTCCAAGTTTGTGATTCAAGATCGGTCTGGGACTGTGGCCCAACAAATGCTCATCAACATTCCAAGCTGCCACATGGATGGTCCTCGCCAGCTTAAAAAATATGTTGAAAGCATAATATGTTAAAATGCTGAAATGTGTACCGAGTGTATTATTATTATTTTTGCACCCTGGGAGCTGTATAGACGTGACCCTTACACAGCACATAGGTTGACGTAGCCGTCTACGCGCCTTTGCAGATGTAGTGTGATTTTCTGAAAAAAGTAAAATCGCACTCACCATATTGGGAAATGAAATGTAGCATGAACTAAGCAGCTATCTTCCAGAAAGCTTTTTTTATTCCTACTTTCGGAAAACAGCAAACGCCGGTAGAATCCACTAGAAAGTGATTTCTAGTTTGTAAGACAGAATTAACCGCTGTCAGTTGCAAGGAAGTTTTGTATCAGCTACAGATAGTATTTAGAGCTTGCAGTAACAGAGTTTTTGTAAGTACCCTTCTCGTCAGGACTCAGTATTTCGCGGAAACAGTCCAGCTATTTTATGTGTAAGTTTTTGGTAAGGAAATCTGTATATTATTTGGACGTACAAGATCCACCTAATTTGGTCTGTTTGATCTGTCTTGTGGTTTGCTTGGCCCGTTTAAGCGTTGAGCATAAAAGATATAGCAGCCGTATTGCGAAAACGTTTTATTACCGAAAGCGTTCAAGATAGCTTTTGTGTGGTAAAAGTCGTCGTGTTCGGCTTGTGAGCGTTATACATCATTTGCATCAATAAAGTTTGCATCAATGGTAAGTGGAAGCAAAATCGCGTTGTAGAATATCTATTTATTTTTTATTAAGAACAAGATAGGACAGTTATTTTGCAATGTGATACTGCAAAGTTACGGTTACCAGGAGGTCAGTTAATTTTTTTTGACGGTGCACCCAAAAATGGACATGATTTGCTAACGTCCAGAAACGTTGTAACACCCATCGAATGAGGCAACAACAGATAGAATGCCTACCAATCTAGTACCAAAATTACAAAACAGGTCACAATTTGTCCTAGAACGCTACTTAAATGTAAAAGGGTAATACAATGTCACATGACGGCAGAGGCGTACTACAATTATGTGCTGCGCAATTTGCTAGAAAAGCCGTTAGGGTAAAGGAAGCTTAAGAACAGTAAACTGCCTAATGGATCCTAAATTCCTCTGAACGTTGCGATGAAATGCATTGCGTAACCAAAGGAAGCGAGCATCTGCTTGCGCAAAACTATAGTAACAATAAGAACCAAAGGCAAAAACAGTCATATTTTCGCCGGTGATAAATTTTAGTCAACGGTGTCATTATTCAACTGGTTGGCATTCTCATTGTCAGCCGCAGACCATTATTCGGCGCATTCCGCGTTTTCTGTTGTATGCAGCCAGATCGGTGGCAAAAAAATTTCACGATTCACGTAAACCGCAGTGTAGCTGAAGGCTAGTGGGAACTTTTTCACACTGCAAGACACTCGGTACAAACATAATGTCCAAGCAATTAGTCTCGTGCGCAATATGGCATATGCACAAGTATATGCTGATATGACACGCCCTTCTGAATTAAACTTTATGGTGTTTATATTTTCCTGAGGCTATACAATCATTATCATCGCCGCTTGAATGTTTGCTGGTCTTTCACGCACGCCAGCTTCCTTTAATTAACGTAATTCTGCTTCCCAGTAAATTTTTTATTTTGTCTCACAATTTCCAGTAAACTCTAGTAAAAGGACGCCTGATATTTTGTTAGCAAAAACATCATTAATATTATTTGCCCACAACACGATATATGCGTCAGTCTCGCATTTCCGTTTTAATTATTAATATGAGTATCAGCGTGAACATTGCTTCAGCTGTCATTATTTGCATTTTACTTCCCCTTACGCATGGTCAGTGCCCGAGTATGGCATCACGGCGCTGCTTCGTGGACTGCACGAATCCTCTAATGTACAATGTCGCATGCGAAGACATCAAAGGATCGGAACTCTTCAACGACATAAGTGATTATGGCACATCCAGCCAACCGATTCATTTGGCCATATGGGATTCCCCGACTCTGTCGCGCATTACTGCAATTATGCTGCAGCCAATAGCGAATGAGATGACTCGGTTTGAGCTGGACAATATGGAGTCACTGGAATATTTTCCTGAACTGAAACTTCAGTATTTGCTCAAGGAACTGGTTTTGATGAACTGTCCCAAGGTGAAAGACATGCCACTGGAACTACTTCCCCCTTCGTAAGTATTCAATGTCGTCAGTGTCGACGTCTGTGTATAAGTGTCGATTTTACTGGATATATACCGAATGATTGTGTAGGATCGAGCAAATCACTCTTTTCCGAACTGGCATTACTGAACTGTGGAACGACTTTGAAGAAACACCAGCGCTTCTGCTTGTGTGGGAGTTCACCCTCGCAAGCATGCGCATTGACAATATTCAGCCCGGATACTTTCGAGCGTTTCCCAACCTCCAATCTCTCCAGATCACCGACTCTAAGTTGTTTCTAAAAGTGGACCAGGACGATCTAATTGGAGTGCTAAGTCCACTGCAACATCTACGCATTACGAACAACACCCTTCCGCCTGACACAGGTGCCGCCATCTATGAAGGCATCATGACGGGACTGCGAATTGCCGAGAAAGCGCATGTTGACCTTTCACAGAACAATTTTGAATTTCGCACCCGGGCAAAGAAACTGGCCAGAAAGTTTGAATTAGCACGCTGTATCTCTCTCCGTGACAACAGCTTTGAGGACTTTGCGAGCACCGCGCAAGCATTTACACATTTTGTCCACGCGGAGAATCTCGATCTGACCAATACAAACTTTCTCATAGCAACTGGGAGTTTAGCGGGCCTTCCCAGGTTGCAACAGCTACTTTTAGGCCACAATTCATTCCAAGATTTGACAGCTACAAACATTTTTCAAGGTGCGCTGTACCGAAATTTAACGTTCCTCGATTTGTCTTATAATAACCTGCACTATCTGCCGATTGGCGTAGAACCTTTCGCCGACAGTCTGGAGGAGCTTGTTCTCCGTGGGAACCGATTGCGTCTACCAGAAATGTACAATTTAAGTGGCAAAAGCTACGTTACTGGTTTCGAAAAATTCAAGAATTTACGACGATTGGATTTATCTTACAACCACTTACTGAAACTGAATAGCGTATATCTGAGCCGAATCAAAAGGCTACAGTCTCTCAATCTTGGATGTAATGATTTCCGACGGATCGGCCGAACTTTCTTCAACTCTCTACCTCGGAGTCTCGAGACCCTTAACATAACCTTTTGTTTTCTCAATCTGAGCGTGCAATTTGAGAAAGACGCTCTGCTAGAAATGCCACCAATCAGCAAACTGATCATGCAGAAAGGTCAACTGACAGGCTCGATCTTTGAGGTTTTCAAAGCAGCCAGAGTAAAAACTTTAGCCGAGCTAGATTTGGGCTACAACCGTATTACGAATTTATATACGGAAGGTGTTGAACCTTTGTCGATGCTCGAAATTCTAAAACTTAACAACAACCAACTACAGTCAATCGGGCCAAACGCATTTTCTAAATTGGACAGGCTGGTACAACTGGATTTATCTTGGAACAGTATTCACACTATCGCAAAGGACGACTTTGCTGGATTAAGCAACTTACGAACCTTGACACTGACTGGCAATTCTGTTATGGTTGTACAAGCCGGTACATTAGATCCGTTAACCAACCTACAGCAGTTGTATCTCGGATACAATGCTATTAACGGCGACGACCTGGCAATTTTGCTGAACAACGTTGGCGATCAGTTAATCCATCTGGGACTGCAGTACAATCCCATTCAGTGTATACCGGGACGTCTATTACGAGGAATGAAGAGACTAAAATGGTTGTATCTAAACCGATCTCGAGCCATCAACCTGGATGTTGGATCTTTTCGAACCCAACCAGCGAGGTTGGCCAGACATCCTTTCCGATTATGGGCGTTCAGCGAACCGCTTCTGAGCGATATCGGATGCCAGTCGTGGGATGATTGGGCTACAGCTTTTAGAAAGTAAGTCACAAAACAAACGTCCGGTATGTTATCTCACTAACGACGTAAAATCACCAGATTTTTTTTTATAGGGCATCAAAGTTCGTGCTAAAAGACCGCTCCGGTGCCGCATTTCAACAAATGCTAATCAATTTTCCCAGCTGTCACATGGTTTCTCCTCGTCAGATTAAGAAATATATCGAGAATATTATATGTTGAGCTCCATCCGCCCCATGTAGGATCATATGTTACGAGGACATTTGGGTGCTTTGAACATACCCTGCACGATTAGGCTGCGATGAACAGCCGGCTAAATTTATAGCCGTTTGCATTCAGACTGTGATATCATTAGCGTTGCGAGCTACGGCTAACCAGCTGTTCATCGCAGCCTAATCGTGCAGGGTATGTTCAAAGCGATGTTTTAATTAAGTAATATGACAATCGCAAGCGAATGAAAAGTTGCATATAGATTTTGGTTGTAGACCAGAAGATTTGTCGTGACCTTTCTGATAAGTTAAGCGTCCACTCAGAAATTCAATTTGGGAACGTTGCGCGTTTAAGTTAGTTAGTTATTTTAATATGATTTTATACCGGCATTCGAAGGTTAATTTCGTTAACATTGCTGGAAGCTCTCTTTTACACGAAAAAAGGTTCGTACCGGTATACGCAACAATACATTTCTAATTTTTTGGATCATGACGCATCTGACGGTTACAACGGAATCGGCGATAATTAAATGCAAAGAACAGTTTGCGCATTATACTGGAAGTACAATGATGGTAAATCACATTTAAAGAATTTAATTTAGTATTAATTTCACGGTTTAGTTCCATTTTTTGTGTTTTGTTTTCCGTTAAACATTCGACGGCGCATCAACCTTGATACCCTAAACACTAAACAGTACTCATCAAAAGATATTTACAGTCAAACCGCCAAGTAGCTCTACGACTGAGCTGTAATTTAGATGTAATAATTATGTTTGTATGGATTTTACAGGTTGGGACGATTATTGCGTCGGTAGCTTTTTCTACCGCACAATCGCAATATCCCGTTGTTTGTCATTATTCCCTATACTCGCCTGGTCAAACTGCTGATGTTTATTGTGTGAGTTGAACGAACATGCTATGACTGCCGGATTTCAATTCTGCTGCCAAAATTTCAGGTCCACAAAAGTTTTTTGCATTTCTGGGCAAACGGAGCATGGTACGAATACATGGTGGGTTCCGATCAAGTCGCGTATAACATCGTAAAAAACGGGACTGTGCGCGGCACTTATCCCGGTGCTCAAAGTGCATGCACAACGTGCTCGTATTTCGCAACGTGGTGGATTAATATCTAGGTGCCAGCTGTGACATGACAGAATGGACCGGCGGCTCAATATAGCTGCACCGGTGTAACGAAAAACAATCCTGAGTACTTTGCAAAAAAAAACCTAGTAGTAATTTAATTCTGTAATTTAAACTTTCAACATTTCGCCGCAGCAATTTGGCATCAAGGAAACATGACAACAGCTGGCAAACGATACGCAGTTTTTTTGTATTTCGATCCTGGCTCCGATTTTTTTTTACATATAGTAAAAGCATTTTTTTACTTAATTTGCATCTAAACAGTGGTCTGTAAAGTTAGCTTATGGCGATTTCTGAAATGTGTACAATTAACATCACCACGACCACTTTATTTACGGACTACGAAACAGTGGAAATTGTCTATAGTTGCGATGACTTCCCGTTAAACACTGACGGTACCTGCACAGTGTGCTGATCTGGGTTTTCACCCGTATCCAACAACCATTGCTGACGAACGCCCAAAAATCTTACATTCAAGACAAAGTGGATACTTATCTGAGACCGCTCTGCTACAGCTACGCACAAATAAAATTCTCTGGTTGGGATTTGACTTTAACGAATCTACCGACCCGTAACATTGCTTTAGGATCACCGGCACTACCGGCATAGTTTCTCGCCACCATGCCGATTTCGCCGGCCATTTAGCGTAAAACTTAACATCTGCATCTAGAAAGTCTTACCTGTAAAAAATAAAAGGTTTGTTGCGGCTTGTCCACTGAGAAGTAGTGTCTTTGTTCCGAATGTGTGAATGTTTTTACCAGACAATGAAAATGGACAAGTATAATTTGAACGCTGCATGTCTGAGAAATCTTGACAAACAGTCGAACACTATTCTTACCCACTTCAACAGAAAATGCTTTTAATTGGTGGTTCGCGTTGCGCTACTTTTTTGCGCATATTAAAAGAAGTAAAAGTAAATCATTCGAAAATTAAAATCCTGTCAGTTACGTAAAGTTAACCTAGATTGTAGTTGCTTGAATCCACTCTACACGCTACATATTTAAAACTTTAAAATGATTATTCTAATCCTAACAGCCTTTTCCGCTTTGAGCGTTCATACTTCATCAGCGCAATCGCAATGTGCCGGAGTGTGTCACAATCCGTTGTATGTTGTGGGTCAGACTGTTGATGTTTACCGGGTAAGCAAGAAACTCACGACACGAATATGCTATCGTTTATGCTGCTATGGTAGTATTTGAATTGTGGCGCATAGGTCAATGGGATCTGGTATGAATACATGGTTGGTTTCGACCAAGTGGCTACCAATATTGTAAAAAATGGCACCGTCCGCGGAACATATCCCGGTGCCCAGTCATCCTGCACAACGTGCTCTTACTTTGCGACGTGGTGGATTAATTACTATATTCCGGCTGTAGCGGGACAGACTGGACCAAATGCGCAATACAACTGCACCGGTTGGTACTTTGCTTTTTAATCGTACCGTTCTGCGTGGTACTTGAACAAAGCTTTACTCTTTATAATTAGTGCATATGAATATGTTTCACATGTACATATTTGTTTTGTACGGAAATAGAAACTAATTTTTATATAAGTAAACCAAAACGTTCAGATTTTTTTGCGTTTATGCAGCTATTTGGCATCAAGGAAATATGACCACAGCCGGCAAACGATATGCGGTGTCATTGTACAACGATCCCAATTCTGATATCTGTATGTTGTTCCTTTCTGACATTCACATGTCAATCATTAAAGCAATAATAAAAGGGTTAATTTTTATTTTAGTTAATATCACAACAACAATTTTATTTACGGATTACGACACAGTGGAGATTGTCTACGGATGCGATGACTTCCCGCTCAATACGGATGGGACATGTACCAATGTGTTGTACTGGGTGTTCACGCGAGTACAGGCGCCCCTGTTGACTGCTGCCCAGAGATCATACATTCAGGATAAAGTCGATACGTACCTAAAGCCGTTGTGCTACAGTTATGCTCAGATGAAGTTTTCTGGATTTGATTTGACCTTAAAAAATCTTCCGCCATGCAACATTGCGCAAGGATCACCTCCCTTTCCGCCCCGATTTGCCGCAACGGTGCCTATTTCACCTCCAATTTAACAGCATTATCTTTCGTGTGTATGTGTTGGCTGTGTCTCACGGGATACGCTCATTCTCATTTAATTACATAATTTTTAATACTGCGGGCAAGACCGCCCAGCCCAAGTTGTGTATCAAGCCCTTTGTAAAATTTCTGGTAAGACAACAATTGATAATGAAAACGAAATAAAAAATACTCTATATTTCATACACCGATACTCCTATATGTGATGTGAAGGCATTTTATACTTAGCTAACTTTTCAAGTCAATTACGTCAAAAGGTGGAAGCCGAGAGATGTACGACCTAAATATCCAAACCAAGCATTTTTGTTTGATCCACGCGTTATCTTTTGAAATTTTTCGTAAAAATCGCTTCCAAAATAGTCGCCCACTTTTTTTTGTTGCCTTGCTTGTTACCTTATTTGCTGTTGAACAAAAAGGAAGCTGTCAAATGCAAATTGTGCTGCCTTTGCAAACCAGCCAACCAGTTTGCTTTTGAAGTTTCCTGCACTGTTTTTGCCACCGACAATTGTGACAGCGCGGAACGAACAATTAAACAATTAAATCAATGCAATCACAAAGCACACACGTAAAAGTCACAACAACTGTCGCAAATCGTGTGACTTTTCGAATTTTTGATTTCATTAGTTCAAAGACGTCGTCCCGTATAAAAATGAAGCTCGATGTGCAATGGACTCAGAGAACAGCAGATATCTTCTTCGTACAAAATTTATCCTATTTTTCGTTGCCATGATGTTTGTTTTTCTTGTTGTGCTGATACTTTTTAGTTTTCTCCATGTTTCTTTTGGGCAATCGGCGTGCGCCGGTGTCTGTAAAGCGCCATTATATGTTACCGGACAGACGATCGACGTTTACCGGGTATGAATTAAAATTATATTCAGTAAATACTCGTATGACACCCATAACTGCAGGCTGCAGCCAATTAATCGCTTGCGCTAGCGGCTTACTTAGGTAACTGTTGCTATTGCGCGTCTTTAAGTGGTTGCAACGATCTCCATGGTTGAATAAGCACTGCTTTCAAAAATTTTGAAAGGTTTTTTTGCTCTAGTTTCTGTAAATTTTTTTGTTTAAACTTGACCTTAAGTCGAACAGATAAACATTTAAATTGCTAGTGTGGGCGGAAAGTGTTATCAAGCGTTAAACTCTTGATAAAATCTTAATTCCCTAAAGCTGCATCATATTACCCGCTTACGTATATTGCCCTTGATATAAGTAATTGCAATAATAATTCATTTTAATATCAATAATTTTCACGTCTTTAGTTATTATACATAGTGCTTTGCAGTTTCATGCAGCTCACTTTGTAGGCGAATGGATTGTGGTACGAATACATGGTAGGATTTGACCAAGTAGCTTATAATATCGTAAAAAATGGAACCGTGCGAGGCACCTATCCAGGATCACCTGTGAACGCGTGTACTTCCTGTGCATATTTTGCCACATGGTGGATTAATTTTTACCAACCTGCAGTAGCCAATCAAACGGGACCAAACGCTCTCTATAACTGCACCGGTATGCATACGAGCACTGAGCCATTCAAACGATAAGAAATTTGCATTTTATAATACAAATTAGGTTCCTTATAATAAATAATTAACTGCGACTTTGTTTGCGTTTTCTAATGAACACGCGTAAATTTACTATGTTTTTGTGCCGTTATTTTTGAATTAATCGTTTATCAAACCCAGTTTTATTAACAACTGGTACTCTAGCAGTAACACTGTTACAGTGCTGTTCACTATTACGCCAATATTTTTTGACATCTTGTAAATATGTCTGCACGTTTACGTGTAATTTAGCATATTTCTTTTACAAAACTGCAGTCGATATTTTCTGTTACTTTAGCAATATGGCATCAAGGAAATATGACAACTGCCGGAAAACGATACGCCGTGTCATTATACTTCGATATGAATTCGGAGATCGGTAAGACATTTAACATTGCCAAAACCAGTCGCTGTTTTGCATTGGGATGTCTAGATCTGTGGATAGCAATTAACAGATACTGACTTTTTATTGTTTATTCGTGTAGCAACAATAAACTGCTGGGCAAACAAATTCATTCTGATAAATTTTCTTTCTTGCGCAGTGAACATCACTACTACAATTTTATTCACCGATTATGACACCGTGGAAATTGTGTATGGTTGTGACGATTATCCCACAAACGCCGATGGCACTTGTTCTGCTCCTAGCTTTTGGGTGTTTACCCGCGTAAAACCACCGCTGCTGACCGATGCTCAGCGTAGCTACATCCGCGACAAAGTGGACAAGTATCTAAAGCCATTATGCTACAGCCATGCCGAGATGAAGTTTTCTGGGTTTGATTTGAACCTCAACAATTTGCCGCCTTGCAATATCGCTCAAGGCTCACCTGGACCGTTTCCATCGCGATTCCTTGCTACAATGCCCATTTCCAATCCTATTTAAATTCATAGCTATAAGAAGGGTCACTAAATACCGACGTAATACATACAATTCCGGTGATTCAATTGGTTCCTTAGTTATCTTGCTGCAAATTCGTTACAAATTTTTTAAACCTTTAATTTACTGCAATATTTTGACAAGTTGACCTTGCAAAGTGGGATATTGACAGTTGGGCAGAAAACATAATATAATTGCTTACTGGTAATTTATTTGTCAGTAGAATGACCTTGCAAAGTGGGATATTGACAATTGGGCAGAAAACATAATATAATTGCTTACTGGTAATTTATTTGTCAGTAGAATAAAAATAAAGGGTCAGTGTACACGGAAACTGGTAGAACACGAAGACGAAATGTACAGAAAATACAGTTCACAAAAGTCAACCAGCTTTATCTGCGAGTATCAACATCGGGGTTATTTTTGTCACGGATACTAATAAGATTATTTGAGCCACCGTAACCTCCCGTTGAACTGCTTCCCGTTCCATACGAACTGCTTCCCGTTCCATACGATCCACCGCTACCATACGAACCGCTTCCGGAGCCACTACCATAGCCCGATCCGCCAGCACCGTACGACCCACCTCCCATTCCATATGACCCACCGCTGCCATAACCACTGCCTCCTGATCCATATCCTCCTCCACCGTATCCGCCTCCCGGATATCCCGTGCCGAAGCCTTGCCCGAATGATCCCAAACTGCCCAGTCCCAGACCGCCCAGCAGACCACCGCCGCCCCCGGCACCGCCCATAAAGCCCCACGGCGGCAGACCAGTGATGCTGACCGTCTCCGTGTTGAAACCGCTGTTCATCAGGCCCATTAACCCGATAGGAGGAAAGAAGCCCAATCCCAGTCCACCCAGAAGACCGAGCCCGCCCAGGCCGCCAAGACCGCCTAACAGTCCCCCGCCGTAGAAGCCACCATAGCCGCCCAGACCGCCGCCGCCGCCGCCCCATCCGGAACCGCCACCGTATCCACCGCCGCCATAGTTGTTGCCACCGCCACTGCCGTAGTTGCCGCCTGAGGAGCCGTAGTTGGAAGGATTGCCGCCGGCGTATGCCGAACCACTTTGAGCTAGTGTTGCTATATGAATACAATGAATACATACAGATATTGGTATGGCATCAAAACTCAAAAAAACAGCGCATGATAAAATTAATATGATATTTATTAGCAGATTAGCATCGTAACAACATCGATATTACCTCGCAGTAGTCCACAAGAAGTCAAGGATATTAACAGAAAATTCCAGTTTAGGGATACCATTGTAGGAACGTTAGCGTATTGCCGTTCTGTAGAATGGCCCACAATTTACGGTCTCAGTATTCCGTCGTTGCCGGCACACAATGTAGAAATCGAATTATTGAATTGATATAGATGATTTTGATAGTAAACTGAATACAAGGTTTCAAAATGTTTTCGTGTTATATACATTACAGCGGCGCAGCGGTGTGTCCAAAAAATGGTTGCAGTGAAGAGGAAGATTATTACGGAAATTAAAGTGTTGTTCTACTTTTGGACAGTATTTCGCTGTTGGCCACAAAATGCTACATACCGGTCCATGGATGGATAGACGCGGATGGTCACGATCGAACGGGGTTTATTCGGTATGGTTTTACTTTTCTTTGCACATCAGTGCCTTTTATTGCGGCATGAGATGCGCTGTCCGTTGTACACTAGTCAATATAACTATTTCAGCAACCTTATGGATGTTTAGTTGTTTATACGATGGCATATACACCCATGTTAACCAGTAATCAGAAGTGGTCAGTAATTTGTGTTTATCTGCCGGCAGTACAGTGATTATTATAAACTGCAAGGCAGCGTCCATAAAACGCAATCTTAAGTTTCTTGTTAATTTAGTGTTACTTTGCTGACTTCTTGTGCACAATAAAATTAAACAGCGGTTAATGGTGACAAATTCAGACATTCCACACACTTTGGAAATGTATTGCAGTACTGCTTGCCTAGACAGCTACAGTACCTGTTCGAAATTCTTTGTACTCGTATTTTTCAAATATTAAATTGACAGGCAAGTAATCAGCCGCCCTAATTCAAAAACACTTTGTATTAGGTGTTTGTTTGCATATAAATTTTGATTGGTGTTTCTGAGGGTTACGAATTACCATGATATCATTCAAGTGTTTTTGTTGCTGTCCATACTGACGTACTGCAGGTACTACAGCTGCAGATGGTTTATCACTGATTCGATGAAACTGCTCCAAATTTGCAACCGCGCTTTGGTCGCGAAATGGTATTAGTGTTTTCTTAAAGCTACATGTAGCACAGTAATCAAATTGCCGCGACCTTTATTGGCTTTTTTTCCTCTCATTTATAAATGGTTATTTAACTGACAAACAGACAGAAATTATTTCGACGACTTGCAACAAACTTAGATGGAAAATACATCCTGCTCAAAAATAAGGTGCCCATGTTCATTTACTGATCATCAAAATGTTTAGCAAAAACTTGAAGCTCTGAATGTGCACCACTGTACAAATACTCGAGCATGGCGAAATCTCAACAAGAAAAGGGGGTACACCTGCTGCCGCACAGCTGATTCCGTCGGACATAAATAATATTTCCTTCTCCCAGATTGGCGCAGTTGATGCGGGGATTCATCGCCAGCAGCCGATTTATATCGTTGATTCCGTGAAGTTTTGCGAAATTCACACAGGTATCACCATTTCGCGCTACGGAATAGCAGCCCATACTGGATGCCTCTTGGATCCAGCATGCGGCGCAGATTAGCAAAATTATAACAGATTTCGAGTGACCCATCATTAGATAATAAGATGAACAGCAATGTGGTTGCTATGTCGGAAATGTAACAAAATACCTTCGAAGGATTTCTTTCAGCTCCACTCCAGTTAAAAAAGTCGAGTCGATTGCGAATAAATTACTGTAATAGTACACACGTGCCCCGTATATGCCTTTTGCCGTACAGTTTTGCCTTAACAGAATGCGTTATGCACATGTTTTTGTTTTTTTGGTTGTAAAACAAAATCAGAGAGTAGTCGGTTTTGCCGGAAGCATTATGAATTTTTTGTGAAATTCAAAGCACGAAATTTGTATTCGGAACAAGCTGTGAGGTTACAAGGAGCTACACTCCGTGTTTGTTAACATAAAACAATGTAATCAAACCAGTTTCCTTACGAATACACAATAGCATTATTCATGCACTCGAGCAACTGCGTTTGAGAATATGATGACCCTGCCTTTTAAAAAACACGCTGCAATTATAATATTATAGTAATTTTTTGCAAATCTTAAACTACTTTTCGCTTACTCACCCAGCATTTTAATTTTTTTTGCACTCGTATGAGCTGTAAATAGAAGTTCGAAAAAATGCGTAAGCCGTATAGCTATTGCGGGTGACAGCAACAGAATTACTAAAATCATCGGCTATGGAAGCAGTGTATGTATTTGCGGGAATAGCCATTATCGACCATCATGCACGACACGGCCGGGCGAAAAAAGCATTTGCAACAGGGTTGCAAGCTCCTGTTTGACGTCACCGGCTATAAACACACAATGTGCCATAATAATTGTCATCAGCGTTAAAAAGTCAAATATTGTTGTTAAATGAGTGGAGCTGCAGAAGAAATGTTATTGATGATTGTTAAAAACCGTGCAAAAGTATTGATTACCTAAGTGCACTTGCTTGTAACATCCCGCTGAATGGACGATGCTGCATTCCGAAGAAAGTACGGAAGAAATGCTCGATCATTTTCAAGATGTAATGCCACGGTCGACGGCCATGTACGAGTACTTCAGGTCAAACATCCTGCGTGGTACGCGAAAGCGTTGATCGTTTACAAGTCAGCTTAGCAAGTTTTTAAAAGCACTTTTGACGTATTAGCACATATTCAATACAAAGTTATATCGAAACGGGCAACAAATTCATCCTTCTTTTTAAGAAAATAGGATTTGAAGACAAACAGTGTGGCAAATACATTTTTGTTTGCAAAACAATTTTACAAATGGTGCCCAAAAACTTGAAGAAACCTAATTATATTCTGGTCATTATATACAGCATTCTTGCAGTTTTTCTGGTTAGGAGAGTTAGCTGACTATGCCAGACTTCATGTCTCTTCGACAATAAATTATTCGCTTTTTGTTGCATACCTCCTATCTGCAGTATGTATTTATCGTAATATTGAGTGACTATAAAAATAATACGTAACTAGTGCCCTCTTAGATTTAATAAAAAAGCATCCGTTTTGTTTCGAAAATAAATAAATAAAAAAAGTTGTGAACAATAAATAGCGCTGTGTTTTAAAAATACCATTTTGTGCGCAAATTTTATGCACAACAACTGCAAAAGTAATCCATAAAAAATAAAAAAAACTTCCCAGTAGATAATAAATAAAATAATATACTGCACTGGAAATTTTCGTTTACAGATTAAGTAATATATACTAATTTTTTGACACAGAACTAGATGTCGGTTTGTAAATCTGCATCGTTTTTAGTTGTATCAGTTCGTAAGCATCCAAAACAGATTTCGAGTAAAAATGATTGTTGCAATCAACACCGCCTTCTTTACATGTTAGGTTACTGTGTGAGTCAGATGCCGCAAGTCAATCGAAAACACTTTGTGAGTCGTGACTATACCTGCTCCACTGTATTATACCTGTGCTTAAGTCGCTGTAAATTGTATAGTCCTGTAAATGAAAAGTGCGCACAACAGTTGACCCCGACCTTGCGCATGTTACAAGTGTATCTAATATTCAATACGACATTCTGGAGCGACACCAATTTTATGAGGCATCGTAATTCTCGTATCTACATCTACTGCATCGCATCGGTAGCTTTGTACTTCCTGTTGAAAGACTCAATGATCCGTATGTGGCACCTCCCATCAAACCATTCACATCTCGTGCTCCAGTCGCTTTTTTCGGACTTATATAATCTTGCTCAAACAAGAACACTTGCACGTAGTGTTTACACAACCTTCTAGAAACTTGTGCCATACTTGAACCGAGGTTGCGTTGACCTTTATCTACATCACAAAAAATTTAAATACTTGTAGAAGCAAATCTGGCCTTGGAGTTTTACCAACCACAGGAAATATTTTGGGTTTCCGACGCAGCTTTGTACATTGACCTGTTAAACGGCGCGTGACCTTTTTTGAATTAGCGTTAAATTGTATTTCAGTGGAGAAATAGCGGAGAAATGGCGGAAGTTAATGGAACCACAACTACCACCGTTCGGCCACCGGCTTTGCGAATGGTCATCAAGAAGAGCTACAGCATTGAGGTAACCGTGGAGAAAATGTTCGCTAAAATTCCTATATAATTACACGTATCAGCGGCACTGTCACTGAGTTATACATAATTTCATAGTACGTGTTGCAAGATACATTATTCTTCTTGTCGTGCCCCCTTCCTGCTTGTGCGCGACCGAAATTGTGTATTTAATTTGTAACCTTATAGGCTGCAGACTTGCAACTAGAAAATCGCTGCACAAAGCAGTAATATTTTTGTCTGCTGAAATAGTGTATCTGTACAAGTGTGTTGAGCAAGCTCAAGGTTGCGCATATCCGCAGAACGGCTATACATCCCGAAATCGCAGTCTGATCGAAGATGCCAAATTTGAGCACCACGAGCATCAAGTGCAAGAGCGGGCAATCCGCCAACACCGTCGGCAGTCCATTTCGCAGCAGTTCGGTAAAGACATACCGGAAGAGGAGGAAGAATCAGGGGATCTGCTCTTACTCAGTGAATGGTGTGACCAGTTAGACAGTCATGCAAAGCAGGCGATCGTTCCTAGCACACTGGTCTTGTCGCTGAAAACTGGATTAGAAATACTCCCAGAACTGCTCCTGATCTTGCAGGTAAATGTTTCAGCAGTGCTAAGCATGCTCACGTTAATTGAGCGCATTAAATTCATAAATTTACGTAAATATGGCATGTTAAATTTAAACGTGTAAGCTTAGAAGTACTGTGAACTGGTGTGTGCTATAGAAATATCAAGTGCACGTCGTGCATATCGAGACACGCAGCAGCAAAAAACGCAATGGGGCATTCGACGTGCTGGTCAGTGTGCGCAGCAGTGTTGTGGCATTATTAACGGGCGCCAAAGAACTGAAGCACGTCAAACCCTTAGCGGAACTAATTATCCTCTCCGAGCAGCAGCTATCCATCAAAGACTCATGGTTCCCGCGAAGAATTGCCGAATTGGACAACTGCAATCATCTAATGACTAAGTTCGAACCTGAACTGGACCATGACCATCCGGTACGTATGTTGAAATCGGTATTATAATTATTCTTAATACCGTAATATTATAGAAAATGTTATACCATTCCCACCACTTGCACGCATTTGCTGATTTAATGATATTATAAGTTATAATCTATTACAATTTCATGTTAAACTACAGAGTACTTCCTTCCTCTGCAGCACACTTATACGGTACATGTACTAACATAGTTTGTATTACGTCTAGCTTTTACAGGTGCGTGGCCACAATCAGCTCTCGAATCTTGCCATAATATGTGCAAGAAAAATTACCTTTTTCCCAGTCAAGAATCAATATTGTATCGTTTAGACAGTTTTGCGCTGTTTTATAATTGACCAAATTACAAATTTTTAACACATATGTGTCTCCACTTCAAGCTGCAACAGTTCTGCAGAATGTATTTACATAGTTTTTGCTTTTAATAATGACCTATCGGCGTAATTCCAGGGTTGGTCGGATGCCGCCTATCGGAAGCGGCGACAGGCGATTGCGGATGTGGCTTTCACGTACCGACAGTATGTAAAACACCCAGCGCGGCTGCGTTAACCTTGTTGTCTGTTACGTCATCATCGTCTTCGTGACTTTTACTTAAAAAGAAGACAAATAGTTTGTGCACAGCAAATAGGCAAATTGATTGCTGGGTGATATTTATTAACGATATGGCCACTGTGTAATTTGTGTGCAGCGGCGACACCATTCCCGATGTGGAATACGCACCGGAAGAGGTGGAAACGTGGCGGCTTATTTATCGCCAATTAAAGGAACTACAGCCGACGCACGCTTGCAAACCCTATCGCGATATCTTTACTATGCTGGAAAAAGAGGGAATCTACGCGGAGGACAAAATCCCACAACTAGAGACTGTTTCCCGATTCATGAAAAGTAGTAGCCGATAATGCTAATAGACTACAATCAAGTATGAGCCCAAAATAGCTTTGGGAAAGCAAGGGTCACGCTAACGCCAATGGCAGCTGCATTAGCATTTAATTGAATAGCGTTTAATTAAGGCTTCCACAATGGCCTTATCTGGCCAATAAAACTATACTTTTTCTTGCTCTCGGGATTGAGCATAGTACACGTTTGACCTTTGCAAAAACTGTTTGGAGTATGATAGCATAATCAGAGCATATTTCAGGCCGCTCAGGGTTTTCACTGCGACCTGCTGCCGGTTTACTGACTGCCCGGGATTTTCTTGCTAGTTTAGCGTTCCGAGTATTTCAGGTGCGTTTCTCAAACGGCAGTACTTATAGCAATGTATCTGCGCTTCCTTCAGAAACTTATTTTCACGTATGCTTGTTCATTGTTGTAATTGTATGTTGCAGTGCACGCAATACATTCGTCATGCCTCTAAACCAAACCATTCTCCTGAACCGTTAAGTACCTATATGTAGTACAAAAATCGAAATAATAGTAACACGGTCATAATGAACTAACACAAGTATGGATGTACTTACTGGCAGAGACTGTGTGCACGAACTGCTGGGTCACGTTCCCCTGCTGGCGGATCCCTATTTTGCGCAGTTTTCACAGGAAATCGGTTTAGCATCTCTGGGAGTGTCCGATGAAGAGATAACAAAATTGTCTACGGTACGAACATACTGTGGCTTGGCCTAAACCATCCATGCCGACTGAAGCTTTTTTCAGTTGTATTGGTTCACTGTGGAATTTGGATTGTGTAAAGAATATGACACCATTAAAGCGTACGGGGCCGGTCTTTTGTCATCTTTCGGTGAACTCATGCATGCATTGTCGGATGTTCCCGAAAAACGCCAATTTGATCCCTTTTTAACGGCCATAGAACCCTACCAAGATCAAACATATCAGGTAAAACATGGCGTTTTAATTAATCACCGCTGTCGCTGAAAACCGGTGACTACTTAAAACGCCATTCACAGAACATCCACTCGTATAGGCTGCACTTGTAATAGGCATGAAAACTGAAAACATGGTAGAGTAGAGGTTACGTCGACACGCGCTCACACGAACTTTACTTTGCAGGATGTATACTTTGTTGCGGACAGTTTTGAAGATGCCAAAGAAAAATTCAGGTAAATAAAGTTGCTTCTTTGAGCAAGTATTCAACAAACCATGAACTTAGGCAGATAAATCACAAACGTACGCAATTCATTACAGTTAGTAATAAAAGTGCCGCACCCTCACTTTTCTACAGAATATTCGCTCGTAACATTACAGGGACTATATATTCACGTGACTACTGCCGTCCCACTTATTGTATTTTCTGCCGTCCCACTTATTGTATTTTCCGAAGAATTTTACATAGGTGCAAAATAGACGAGTAAGTACGTCGGACGTTGTTACAGGATGTATACTGCGTCAATTAAACGTCCCTACGCTGTGCACTACGATCCCTACACACAGAGCATCGATGTCCTGGACACGGCGGAGAAGCTGCTGACGCGCTTCGAGGATCTCAAGACCGATGTGGATCGCATTCATGGAGCTATGGTGACCCTGAGCAATGCAGGATCCGTCAAGGGCTGATAAGCACAGCAGAAATGATCACATTCTGTTTGCAAACATAATTACTGCGGTATCATAAACGTAAGCTACGTACTTGTATCATAAATAATTATTATTATACAGTTTTATTGCAGTAAAACTTGCAAACCGTTGTAATGCGCTATAATTTATGAACTTATCATGCTGTAAGTACCTCTCAGCTCGATCAAATTATGATCAAGTAATTTGTCAATGTTTTCCTGTTGTTTAAAAAACGAAAACAAAGGCAACCGCAATTTCTCGTAGCAAACGAACAACAATATAATCCACCTCCAGCTATGTCGCAAGATTTAAAACACATAAACAAAGGTCCGTTTGACCCACACATTTGAGATCTCCAGTTTAGAAAAAGGACCGCTATAAAAGTGCTCAATGCGGAATACATTATGAATTCTGTTCAGAATAAACTGAAATAAGAATCTGGACAATGGCGTCCAATTGTGTTTGATCCAAGTCGGAACAGAGCGCCTAGAAAAATAAACAAGATTACGAAAGACAATCAGCGGATGTGGTGTGAGCAACAGTAATCCATGCCTAACGTCGTTAGTTTAGGAATTTTCAGCAGTAGCTGCTACTGCATATCTTCAAATATTTTTAGCAGAAAAGTATTTTTTGCGCTTGGGCAATACAGCCAGTTCTGTTTCCCCTGTTTTTCTGTTGTACATACATACTGTACGAGTACTTATTTTATCGTGAGAACAATTAAATGCGAAAAGCAGCAAACTGGTGGTCAAATGTCACTGGATGAAAGAAGCTACCGGGGCACAGGGTGCCAAAAGCCGATATTACGGAATCGCCCAGTATGCGATTGTTATTAACTAGAGTAGTCAATTCAAGCGCAGTACTACTGCATTAAACAATTTATACAATAGGAGCAACTATCGTACGAGCATACGTAATCCCATGTATTAACGTTAAACTCCATATTAAACGAATGCCGAGTACACTCTAGCGAATTTAAGCTAATTAAATCCGTTTCATTCACAATTTCCACGCACAATAAATCAAGTGCTGACGTACCTTGGTCCATGGTTGTCCCGATTCACTAACAGGAACGGCAACATGAAAAATCTGCAAGGCGCAAGCAATAACTGCGACGGCTAAGTGTTCCGGTAAGACATCCATAACCAACGATGTGCAATAGGAATCTCGCAATAACGCCCTGTCCGCCACAGAAGAAAACACGATAAATCATAGTTGGATGCGACTTGGATAAATACAGGTTAACAAGATTATTCTTTCACTTCGTTGTAGGAAGATTCGATTTACGAGCGCCTCGTATCAAATGGCAGGATTACAAGTAAAATTCTCACCAACAGACTCCGATAACAGGATGCTCTCTTAGTACACCACGAGGTAACCAATCTTCAAGAACTTTGAGGAAGCATACGAGATACTAAAAACAGAAATACAGTGTAATGCTTAATGAAGTATAAGCTGAAAAAATTAATGTCATCAAAAGGAAGGTAAAAATTACTCAAGACAAAACAAACAAACATTTATTACGACAAAACGGGCTGCCTGATGATCTTCAAGCAATGGCGTCCACACTAACCAATTTTTGGTTATGCGCGTAATAAACACTGTCTTTTTAGCTTTTAGATTGGCTGATCGGGAATGATTTGTACCCGATGTTGTTTTTCATGGCAGCTTTGCTGTGGTTTTGTTTATACTGTCCTTACAGTACCTTGTGCGGATGGTGACAGTCAGGATGGAAATTCATTAACCGCAAAATCCACAGCTCCAACGTCATGAAAGAAGTGCGCAAAGCATAGTAATCATCGATGTTCGTTAGTTCGCGATCCCGGAAAACGGTGCTAAAATAATGGGAGATTCGGTGAATTGTTTCGCTTTAAAATTTCGGCACGCTTATAATAAACGTTACGTACTGACTTGTATGCCACGTTGATCAATTTTCGCACGTTGAGGTGATTCTCCTCGATCTTTCCGGCCAATAATAAGCAACCACAGGCCAAACTCTGTCAAAACGCCAATATTTCCGCAAAAATAAATTATTAACTTCAAAAACTTCATGGATTCGTGATCAGTCCTTCTACGTATAAACTGTAAACGGAAATGGGACGTCACAAAATGTGTATTAAAACTACTTTGTGCATCGCTTATCGTTTGTCCATAGTAATACATCTACCATAAAACTGCAGTGCAGCGGATTATACAGCTACATAACCGAAACATACTCTCAAGTCTCAACCGAACATCAGCGATGTCGAACATAAAAAGAATAAACGACAATTAAAAGAGAATTGTAACAACTTACAAATCAGATCAATCAGATCAGAATTATCAGATCAACTGCCTTCAAGACATCAATCTATAATTTTATTAATTAATATTTAAGGAAAAATACAAAAGCAACCAGATAGTATAGATAATTTACACAAATTAGTAAATTATTATTTACAGAATATGACGACTTCTATAACTCACGTAATCATCTTCGAAGATATTCATTGCCTTTCCGAAAGCACTGGAGTTCCCCGTGTTCTTGGCATTATCCTCCAACGTATCGCTGCTTTTCTGCATCAGACGCTTGCAGCGCTGGAAGAGCATGCAACCAGTAGCCACCGTAAGTTCCCTTGCATCAAGTTTCAATCCTGCAAAAAAGCATGACGGAATAACAAACATTCTAAATCTAATGTATTAATCAATGTGTTGCAGACTTGCAGTGGTGCTATGCTCCATCTCGGGTTTAAATTTGCAAACGGACTCACCACATTCTTGGATAAATAAAATAACTTGTCTCCACTGACAATTTCCTCCAAACATTCCAGATGACTGTCGCGAGAAAGAGCGAGGAGTCGACATGGTGTCATTAGAAGACGTTTGAAACCTTTACCCAAGTTTTCTTCCTCCGGAAAACGAAAGATGGTGCCACAAAGCCACACAACTAACAACAAAACGGAAAAGTATGCTAAGAAAACTTCAAAAATTACTCTGTTTGTAATAAATGTAACAGGTTGCACTTGTACCCGTACAAGCGTAGGCACGAGTACGGTGTGCAGTATGTACAAAGAACATATAAAACATGTGATTATACGAAGTTTTGTTAAATTCCATTCAAACTGACTTCTACAGCGCCGAAAAAAATTGTGGATAGAATGACACAGATGCGGCATCTATGACACTATGACAGATCATTATTTTTCAGAATTCCTTATAAGCACGTACAGTAGAGTGATAATTTACATAATTAATATTCCATATTTTTTTGAAATTTCAGTTTTTTTCCAAAACATAACTGAAGTCATATTCTGGTGTCTGACTAATAGTGTTATACTGAAATCTGAAAAACTTCCACGTTTTCACAAGTTTTTGAAGAATCTTCGATGTAATGTTGGAAAAATCGGTTTCGTTGCTACATTGGAGAGTGTGCGAAAGTTAAATCGAACCTTATGCTTGTCGTAATCAGCTAGTGCGTTTACACTCACTGTGATTCCACTGCCGTCGAATCTTTGACTGACTCGCTCGCTCGCTCGCGTCTTCCACGTCTCTCTCGCTTTCACACTGACTTGTTTTATCCCTACTCGCTTCTCGGTAACAGCGTGCAGCCGATGTAACCACCAAGCGCAAACCACCCAAAGACGATCCTGCTCTCCATCAGAGAACGGTGCATGGATGTATGTTTATTAATTTTGCTCATTTTAAATGCGGTTGGTGTGTGTTGCATTGTTGCTTGCCATACACCCCGCATAATTGTATTGTGATCGTCCTTTCCACATAATATACTCTTATAATCTCTATATTCTTTAGTTCCTTCTTTAAAATTACCAAAAAAATGATTCATGTGTAATGTAGAGGAGAGCAAGCGGTCTTTTACCTTATTGATGCTTCCGTTGCGCGAGTTTTGTTTACAAAACTTTAAAAAAGAATAGGTTATGCGTGCCTTTTCCCCTAATTTGTAATAGGGGTTTTTTGCCGCATAACAGCAAATGGAACTCAATAAAGGTTGATATATATATTATATAGAGTACCTTTAGAATTTGATGATAAGGCAACCGCCCGCATTTGTATGCTTCCAAAGCCTGAAACCTGAAACGGAGAATTGGGTACTCGTACGAGTATTATTTGTAGCGTCTTTTTGAAACAGCTGTCTCAGCCTGTCTGCGGAGTGCTGCGTCACTTACCATTAGTTTTTTATCATTTTTTAATTTTTACTCAATTTTGATGTTTCGAAGTTAGTGTACAGTATTACTTGCTTTACGATAAGAATCATGATTGAAGATCGGTTGACAGATTTATAATAAACCTTTTTTCCCATTGCCTGCTGCTCCATACGGGCTGCGAATGAGCGGAAAGTTTTAATATTTTATAACTGTACGAGTATTTTACCACCGTGGTGATACTGCACATACTGTACGTCGTACTGAGCCTGTTTTTATGATTGTCCTGAGATGTCCTCCCAACAGTTTCCCACTTCACACTAAAATTTGTAGCATTTTACTCATAAAGATAACACTGCACTTTGTTTACTCGTAGTGATTTATTTTGGCTGTGCGGTTGGCCTGTTGCATAGTATACGAGATGCTCATTTGAGCACTAACTGCTCAGTGCTCACATACTTGTCGTATTAACGTATCGGAATTCTGCGCGGACTTCTGTCAGCAGCCTTTTACAGTTTTACCTGATGCATACAGTTTTATCACCACTATTATTATCTTTAGGTAAGCTCAACCAAGGGTCCTAGGCTCCTAGCCAAGTGTAGTACCTAGTACGATAAACGGCCTGGGAAAAACTTCTATCTACTGTAAACATTGAAAGTTAATTTCTTAGCAGCTAAAGCTACCTTACAGCTTGCAGTCTTCTTATCATCTTATTAGATTTATTTCATTGTTTCTCGGTTTCTATAATCTATACCCACTTGCGTGAATGTAACTTATTTACATATTTTCTGAAATGTACAATAACTGAAGTTTGCGTTTAACGATGACTATGGAGGTGTATGACGAAAATGCGTACATGGCATGGTTGGAATCTGTTTCCAGATCGAAGGCGAGCCATCCCCATGAATGCATGAATCACCTCCATCCCCCCGATTCCTTCAAGCATCCCCGACCCCAACAGTACATCCGGCACTTCCGTCTCTGCCTGATCGCGGGTGGCATCTTCACCCTACTGCTGCTGCTGTACTGCATCGTCGCCAGTGTGTCTTTCGTCGCGGAGGCCGAGGACAATCTTATAGTATTGAAAAATTCCGTGCGCTCTGCGCATGTTCGGCTAGCTTCTTTATCACTGCGCGATGAAATTTTGGATACTCAGAGACGGCGCGTAATGGGAAATACGGTAGACGACGAAGATGAAGGGCCTGATAAGCGGCGGGGGGAGGGAGTGACGGTCCGCCGGAGGAGGGTGGGGTATGTCTTCCGGTCGGTGGATGGATCTGATGGGCTGTGAATTTGTGGCGTGCTCTAATCGTGGTGGTTACGTGATCCGTGTTGCTCACATGGTTAATCGGGAGGTGGAATATTCACTACAGCAGGTATGGAATTAAGTGAGAGCTTAGACGTTGTACTTAATTCTTACGCGGTTGCTATAAGTAAAAATTAAAAAATGGCTATCACATCGTTGGTTAGTAACATAATCTTCGGCATGGTTTTCTTTTTTTTGTATCAGTAGTTGCTTACCGTATTAGTGGTACGGTAACTTGAGAATATCCCAACGGTACATATGTCAGCCTTTGTCGAAAATTTTCGTCCTTTACGAAGATTTTATGTGGTCATTTCCGCTTGTCGTCGTAATGGTTTTGTTTTTGTTGCAGTATTCGGGACGTGATATTTTATCCCGGTTGTGTAGTGCAAGTCATGCCAGCTCACTGGAAGTCTGGATGTGCCTGGTGTTTGTACGGTTTGAGATGTCTGTTGTCTCGTTTTTCAAAGTTTATCAAAAATTTGCAGCTTTTTCCGTGTCTAGTCTCATGCGTATTGCAATAGAGTATTTTGTATTTTGAATAAGTGTATCGTTTTATGTTTTGTCGTTTGAGGTTTTTGCGGCTTGGCCGTGGGAGTTGAATTTTGTTCATCTCTTGTTGCCTGTCAGAATAACCGGTTCCACTGCGTAAACCGATCATGAAACACATCTTTGTAAGCAGGTTTTGTGTCATGATTGGTGTTGGCGCATTCTCTGGAATAATAAAGAACCGTGTACATTTGCTGACGAGTAAAGTGTTTGCAGATAGCATTTATTTATTTGTTTGCAGCAAATTAATCACCAGAGCTCAACAACGCACTTGAATAGCCTTTGGTTAAACGCGCGAGAACCCCCTCCCATGAACAATGGAACATATCGCTTTTTATGGATCACAGGCTGTTAACTGTTAATCATGAAACTTTTAAAAGCTTAAGCTTTTAACTTAAATTAACCTTTTAACAGAGCTTTGCAAAGCAGAAAAGAGTTCAACGTGAACAAGAGCGACGGAGTTCGTAATCTACCCTGAAGTCGATTCGACTGCGATGCGACGACAACGCTGCTAGAGTATGGCCATTCCAGTTCCTTCGTTAACATGTTCCTGTGAACGTTTTTGTAAAGGTTGTGCAGTGTGCACCGATCGTAAAATATGGTCCCAGCGGTACATCAAAATTATGAATCTGGTAGATCTGAAAAACTGAAACAGCCAGTCGTTTTGAATCAACCAACCGCATCTTTAAGTGTTACACTGTTACTTACCGTTAGAAATGGATTTGTTTTTAAACATCAGTACGCTGTACGGTAGTAGCGGCTGTACAAGTAAGTACTGTATCTATACGCACATCTGCTATCATCCTGCCTTGTGAGGTACCGCATCCACGGTCTACCTTGCATACCGCCGGTATGGTAGACCGTGGATGCGGTACATTGGATGCGGGATGGCGTTGAATAATCGTACGTTGTCCAGCCTGTGGCTTCGAAACAATGCAGGTATACAATTCAATATAATTATAGGTATACAATTCAATATACAGGTATTCAATTCAATACAGTATTATACAATACAGGTATAATCAAGTACGAAGTGTAGGAAGTTGTACGAACGTTTATCTACGAACGTTTATGTGCGAACGTTGTACGAGTATTCGAGATCATACCAGAAAAATGGGTACAGAAAAGTTTTCTTTCTCTTCTAGACAGTGCAGACTGCACTGCAGTCAGTGTTCACGCAATTTCCTATAACATTAGTACAAGACTACAAGGTCGGGGATAACGAGTGCACCCACTCTAATTTTATTAAAGTCGACGAGTTATCCTTTGGATT